CCTGCTTAATTACATTAACGTAATTTAGGACTTCATGCAGCAGAGTTGCCAGTTCATCAGAAGTTCTGCTGACTCGTGTACACAGAGAGATTCATCCTCCCCCGTCCACGGTTTGGAGCTGCCAAATATTCAGAGGCCGTTTCTGCAGCAAACAATCCATCACGGGGCGTTCTGGCACGCGAAGGCTGTCGACACCCAGCAAAGCAGCAACTTCTGCGCATATGTGTGATGACGAAGAACCGCACACATTTCTCACTGTACAGAATATATGGAGGAAACGACGATGGAAAACTGAGAGCCCGCACACAAATAGAAAAAAAGAAAACAAATTGTCCTGTGCATTCTTCAAGAGAAAGGGCCAGCTTTGGATGTCCGACGTCTAGATTTCAATCGCTGCTCAGCCATAAGTTAGATAATTGAGAGAAAATTGGCAAAGTGCTTTTTACACTGCAGGCTGCCCTGAGAAGTACAAGTCATGGGCCCATGCAGCTGGAAAGAACATCCATCCAAAACTCTGCTACAAGGAAATAGCATTCATGCAATCCAGGACATGCAAAACACGCCACTATCAGAGAACGTGGTTCAGAAAGCCAAGCCGAAGAGCTCCAGGCAACCAGAGAGAGCCCCAAGCCCTGCCAAGGGTGGGAGGGGGATCCAAGGGTCACTTGTCAGCATGACTGGGAGAAATGCCTTTGCTGGAGAGGGAACATGAGCAAACCTCATCTACAGGAACCAAAAAGGGATTTCTGCCTATACATTCATAGGATCGCTTCTTAAATCCTCAGACATCCACTTGTTTTAAATGTATTCCCATATTTGCTGATTCGTTTTGTTTCTATACTCCCCAGTGACCAAAACTCTGGATATAGCTCACAGAAATGACAAAATTTTATAATATCGAATTATTGGATGCTGTGCCCTATTTTATTTATCACTTTGCTGTAAATCTTCCTGAGGCGCCAGAAGATGGTCTATAAAAGCCTTAAACAAACAAACATACCAGTTAATAAACAATTCAAGCAACTAAGAGCAGTTAGAATGAGATACAATAACTGACATTTAATGGCTGTGGGGAAGCATACGATGCCACCGAATGCCTGGGAGCAGAGGAAATCCAAACACGAAAAAGACGGTGGCGTTTGCACCAGGCGCAGCTTAGTGGGAAGATCATCCCACAACTTGGAAGCCACCACCAAGAAGTCCCCTCCGTTGCCGTAGTGCTCCGAGCCTCTCTTGGCAGTGAACGGCTCGGTTTGCACTGCCTTCCTCGGAAATGCTCACCTGCTTCCCAGCTGCTTCCACATCCAGCTCCATTTCCACATTATGGAGCTCTCCAAGGATTGGCTCCATCTCACTTTTCTGCTCTCACAGTTCAACAGATGCTTCTGTTTTGTTTGCGCAATCCTGACTAATGCGAACATTGTAAGCTGCCCAGAGAACCTTTGGGCTGACACAGAAATGGAATACACAAACAGGCAGGCGAGCAAACAGCACGCCACTTTAATATAAGTGCTGCTACCCCCCTCGGCGGCCTGGGGTAGCTCCTTCGCTGCACTCCGCCCCTGGAAGGGCCTCCCAGGAGTCAGTCGAGATTTCGCCAGCCCACATTTTCCTTCCTCGGCAACTGTAATGGAGTCTGCCTTCAGTTGTTTGCTCTCATTCACACCTTTCCAGTTTGTAGACTGTAAGCTCCCTGGGGGTGAAGACCTGCTGCCTTTTGCTTGCAAAGCCCTCAAAGTGTCCACACACTCAGGGAGTTGCGTAAGTCGTCAAGTGTTTTGAAGTGGGCAGAGGGCTGCAGGAACGGCACCACGGCTCCGTCCATGCACTGATGCCCAGCCGCCACTGTCAGCGACGCTACAGGCCAAGGCCTTTGGGGTCCCCTCTGCCACACCGAGCACGGCACGAAGAGCCTGGCTTGGCCCCCTGCGACGTTGTTGCCACACGCCTCGGCCGCTCGCTGCGCTCGTGACATAAAGTGCCCCTCCCCTCCTCCTCTCCGCCTGTGAGCAGCACCGGGGGCCCTGCTGGGGTTGTGTAACTCAGACGCTCCCTCCTCTTCATCAGTGCCGGCTCTTGCTTGGAAGCGAACATTTGCAGAACAGAAAGGAGAACTTCTGTCGGAGTTGTACCTCCTCCAACATTTCACAGACAAAAATAACGCCGTGTTTGCAAGACTAGGCTCCTTGTACTGGCTATCCAAGCCACGTTGCACATTGTTCTGTCTGTTGTATTCATTTAGCCTCAAAAAGCCGATCCCCCACGGCTTACGAATGATAAGATGTTTGTTCTTTTAGGATAGATATGCTGGGAAAACAGAATTGTCTTGCAATCTGTTATCAAGAGTTCAAAATGAACCTCACTGGCATATGGAATGGCAGGCGGCGTTCCACATGACACTTCTGATGCTGGCGCCTGTGTGTTTACAACTCTGCCTCCACCTCCGTCCCAGGCCGCCGTTCAGCTTCTGGGGTCCCCAGGATGGGAGTGGAGCGCTGCGGAATGACTGGCTGCTCCGCCAACCCACGTGCTGCTAGAACTTCAGCATTCCCCAGAGACGAGGAGCAGGTCCTGGGATCTGCCCTAGAGAGGGGCACTTGGTGCCGACTGCCTTCCCTCCCTCGGTGAGCAAACATGGGCGGTGCATGCTGCTGACAGAAAGGGAGCCCAAACGGGGCCAGCGAGAAACGAGAGGGCGGCATGCTTGGGGGGCAGGGGGAAGCTTCCCAGAAGCACAAGAGAGCTTGCAAAAATATGCCTACGGGGCCAGCTCCCCCCGAAACAGCCCACTGAGGAACGAGTAGCCACGTCATATGGAATGAAAGAGGGAAGGAAAACAGAAAACTCTTGTGCGCAGGGAATGGTGAAGCCCCTCATGGCCCCTGTAATGTCTTGGGGGCGGCAGGAGACGCGCCCTGTCCTCCCACACCTGGCCACCTTCCTGCCAGGCACCTGCTCACTACCATTCGAGCAGCAGAAGCACCTGCGAGGGCAGTGGCCGTGCACAGCGCCCACGGGAGTGAGCTGCCTCATGCCCTCGTGCCCTTGCCGCTTGGTTTGTGGCATCCCCAAGGACACCATCCGTGATACGTCCGGAGGAGGTCACCACTCTGCCAAACCTTGGTGGCAAAGCAGCTGCCCGCAGGATCCCTCCAGCGGGATGGGGGCGAGACCTCCTCCTGCCCAAGCTCCCCAGCAACTGGTGTGTGCAGGCGGGCCGCCTCTGCTGAAGGAGGCAGCTCATGGCCAGCGAGGCTAGCAGCCACTCGGATAGGCTCCTCCTCCTCCTCCATGAATGTCCTGTTGCCTTTTAAAGCCGTCCACATTGGTGACCGTCACCACTTCCAGTGGTAGCAAATCCCACACTTTGTGCTTGTGCCAAGAAGTCCTTCCTGTGATCTGTCCTAACCTTCCCATCCTTCAGCTTTATGGGACGAGCGTGTTATGGCAGAGCGGGAAAAAGGTCTCCCTCTTCCCTTTCTCCACACCAGGCATTATTTCCTTCCTCACCTTTTCTCCCCACATAGGGGAGATGCTCCAAGCCCTCTGATAATTTTTGTTGCCCTTCTCTGTACTTTTTCCAACTTAAAAATGCTCTTTTTCGGGTAGGGTGACCAAAACTGAACACGGTATTCCATGTGCAGTTGCGCCAAAGCATCGTATTCTTTAGTCCAACTGAAAAATGCTTCCTGGATGACACTCTTAAAGAACGCCAACAGATTAGTGAGACAAGACCTTCCCTCGCGGAAGCCATGCTGATTCGTTTCCGCAGGCCTTGTCCCTTCATCTGCTCACTGGTCCAGTTTTTGATAGTGCTTTTAAGCCATTTACCCAGAGCAGATGTCAAGGATAAAAATGACTCCCGTTGCCAGAATCAGCAGCCAGTTTGGCCCCCTCAGTCAATGAGTGCACAACGATGCCCAAACCATTTTTAAGGGAAGAAACGCATATTGGACGTGGGGCGAAAATGGGGTACAGTTCCCATTTCTTTTCCAGGCCCTGCTCTGGTGCTCTTAATAGCAGCTGACATACATAAATGTGGCTTTAAGAAGTGTGCATTGCTGGGTTTTTCTTTTTCTTCCTTTGGCATGCAAATAATTGGCAGGAAATGTTTTCTACTGCTGGATTTCTGGGAAAAAACACAAAGAAAGTGCAAAGGAGGAGAATTGTATCATTATTAGAGGAAGGAAAAGAGAACTGGGGGCTGGAGTTGTCCCTCCGGCAAGGCATGAACAGAAAACGCTGCCACCCTTACTCTCCATGGAGGCCCAAGAGGGAATTTTACCTAACCCCTAACCCTAATAATGTCCAGGGCTTTCTAGACGGACATTGGATCCTCTAAATTTGCAACACCCCAATCCGCACTGAAGCACTAGCATCTCAGGGATATCTTTTCTGGCCCCAGGTCTACTTAGATATTATTGTGCCCTGCACTGGTTTCTGGAGCAGCCATGTTTTAACAAATGGGCCACTTCCCTAAAAAAAGAAAACAAGACTCAAGGTGCAATCCTATGTATGATTAGACAGAAAAAAACCCCTTCAACTCCCAGAGCTTCCTCAGCTAGGAGGTTCAGGGCCTTTTTATTCCTCTCCAAACATGCATAGGACTGCACCTGTAAAAATTTTTACGCCTGTATGCATATTGGGGCGCGATCTTATGCCTCTTCCGGGCGTAATTTTATGCCCGTTCAAGCCAACCCCAAAGCCTACAACTCCCAGCATGCCCCAGTTCCCGCTGCTGGCCGGGGCATGCTGGGAAGTGTAGGCCTTGGGCTGGTTTCGCCTAACCGGGCCTAGCGTGTCCAGCGGCTTACCCCCGCGCGGAAGGGCAGCCGGGCCTCCCCGCGCGCTCGCACGGCCGGTCGGTCGGCCGGCCGGCCCCCAGCAGGCCCAGAAGCGGCGCCGCTTCGCCCGCCGGAGCAGCTGCCGCGGGAGAGCGCGGAGTAGGCCGCACCGCACCCCGCGGGGCCTGCTCGGTTGCCACGGAGACCGCGCGCCTGCGCCGACGCGTCTTCTCCGCGGCCGCCATGGGCGAGCGGGACGCGGACTTCGTGCTGCGCTACTTGGCCGAGGTGGAGGCGCTGGCCGAGGAGGTGATGGCCGGGAGGCAGCAGGTAGGCCCGGCGGGGCTTGTGGGCCCCCTGCCCCGCCTCACATAGTCCGCCTCACATCTCCGCGAAAATCGCTGGCGCTGGATCAGGCCCGGCGGCGGGCGGGGGTCACACGGGGCGCGCAGCTGCCCGCGGGAAAGCAGGAGGCAAGGAAGCGGCGGCATCCTCTGGCCCATGCTCCCCGGCAGCCGGGGCGCACGGGCACGGCTCCTCTGATACTGGAGGACGCACGGGGCTAGGAGGGCAGTGGCTGTGGCCGGAGTGGGGCCCGTCGTCGCCGCCAGCTTAGCCTTTGGGGGCTGGAGGGGTTTCTGCCCCGGCCGCATTGCAGCCCTCGTGGCTCGGGCGGTGGGGTGCGGGAAGGGGGTTGCCCGCTGGCTTGTCCATGGCAGCGTGTGTGGTGGCCAAGACCCTCGGACCGGGACCCGGGCGATCCGGGTTCGAGTCCCCGCTCGGCCATGGAGCCCACTGGGTGGCTTTGGGCCAGTCACAGACCCTCAGCCCAGCCTACCTCACAGGGCTGTTGTTGTGGGGATAAGATGGAGGGGGAGAATGATGTCAGCTGCCTTGAGCCCTTTGTAGGAAAAAGGCAGGCTATAAATCGGAAAATAAATAAAAATAAAATAAATAATGGCATTCCTGGGGTTTGAACCCGGGGCTCCCTGCTGCGTGTCTCGGCCTCCTGCCCTGTGCCACCGGGCCATCCCTGACTCGAGGCCGCCCTGTGCGGGAAAGCCCTGCGGAGCATTTCTCAGGTCAAGGCCATGGCTTCCCTTCTGGAGTCTGCCCTCCTCATGTTTGGTCTTCCCTTTTATTTGTTGTTCTTTGTTATTTATTTCATTTATATACTGGCCTCTAGCCGGAAAGTCTCTCTGGGTGATTTACAAAGATTAAAACACATAAGCAGAGATAAAAATAGTGATTCACAATAAAAACCATTACAGTCAATGAACAAAAATAATTAAAAACAACCCCAACACAACTTGGTTGGTATCAGTTTGGTACACAGGTACAGCAGCATCTAATAAAAGCCTATTAAAACTACAACTTTAACTATTAAAATGCCTGGAAACTAAAAATAGGTTTTCACCTAGTGCCAGTAGGAAAAAAGAGTAGGCGCCAGGTGAACCTTTCTGGGGAGCTTATTCCAAAGATGGGGTGCCACAACTGAGAAGGCCTTCTTCCCTTAAGAAGGACCCCAAAGGATGATCTTAAGGCCTGGGTAGGTACATACCGGAAAAGGCGCTCCTTCAGATAACCTGGCCCCAAGCTGTTTAGGTCTTTAAATGTTAGTACAAGCACTTTGAATTGAGCCCAGACTTGAACTGACAACCAGTGCAGCTGAAAGAGGACAGGCATGATGTGATCTCGTGGGTCAGTCCCTAGTAACCTCTGTGCTGCCCTGTTTTGAATCTGTTGACGATTCCACACTGTTTTCGAAGGCAGCCTCACACTGAGTGCATTGCAGTAGTCCGAACAAGGGGTTACCGGAGCTGCATCACTGTGACTAGGCTCTGCCTGTCCAGAGAGGGTTGTGGTTGGTAAATTAGCGACGGAGCTTTTGTCTTCAGTCTTTGATTTGCCCTGGCCGGATGAGTCTTCCCTGGAGAGTCTTGCCTTCCCAAGATGTGTCCAAAGTACGACAGCATCAGTTGCATTATTTTTGTTTCTAGGGAAAGCTCTGCCTTAATCTGATCCAGGACCTCCTTGCTCATCTTTCTGTCAGCCCACAGCATTCACAAAGCCCTTTTCCAGCAGCATGTTTCAAATGCATCAATGTTCTTCTTGTCAGCTTTCTTCTCTGTCCAGCTTTCACATCCATACTTAATGACTGGGGATACATCAGCATGGGTAATCCTGGCCTTGGTCTCCAGAGACACTTGATCTTTTATAGTTCTTTCATTGCTGTCTTTGGAAGTTGGAAGAGTATGCCAGAACTGTATCCCTTCAGACCACTGGCTGGGGCTTGCTTGATGGGATACTACCTTTTGTTAAAATAAAATAAAAAACAAAATTCTGCACCTCGAAAGTTAACTCCATAGGGAGAAGACTACACCAGAACCCTGTCTAGTGAACTTTCTTTGTAGAAGAATTTTAAAAATGTTTGGTAAAGAGCTTGCACCTGAAGTCTGACATACAGGTGTTGGTCTGCTCCCTCGTGTGACCTTTTCCTGCTTTCTGCCGTGTTAGACTCCCTTGCCTTCCTCTGAACCCTTCTTGCTCCAGGCAGGACTGCCCACCTCCGTTGGTTCTTGCCTTTCCAGTTTTGAGGCAGGGGAATTAAAAGTGCCCCTCTGCTCCATCACTGAGAGAGGAGGAGCACTAGTCCAGCAGCGTCCCAAGTTCTTTCCTCACTCAGCGCCCATCACTTACGAGCACTCTTTATTAAAACTGCTTGTAATCTTCTTGCCCTTTCATGCTCCTGTCAAAGCCGTAGCTTCAGCCATTTTCATGGGGTCCTGATAATACGTTTGCAGGGGGTCTCTGCCTTTTCCTTCCCCTTCTCCCACTTTCAAGAAACATGTATAAAAACTTGTAAAAGCACGTAAAATACAGAAACTTATATATGCTGATGACCTGTTTACCATAAGTATGTGTGGGTGATCAGGAACACTTGTACCATTGGACCAACCTCATGATTCATTCATTCATTCAAATGTATATACTCCTTTGTGCAGAGGTATCAAAATGGTGAACCAAGGCAGAAAAAAGCAACAATCAGTAGAATGAAAGCAAGATCGTATAAATTAATTAGTGATAAAACAGCACTCTCTACTGTGTAGTACAAACCATGAGCTGGCTGGCTCCCACTTTAGGGACAGCCTGTGCAAAAAGTGACTTTTAAGAAAATACCGCACTGTTGAGACTGGCTGTCCATCTAAGGTCATGTGGGGAAACGTTCCAGAAGGCAGGTGCTGCAGCGCACCTGAGGATTAACCCTCTGGAGCATGTGGCACCCTGGGAGGTTCATCCTCTGATGATCACTGCGATTGTGTATGCAGCCTTTTTCATTTGTTTTCATTCTTTCATAAGTTGCTTGTGATTTGTTTCAAATGAGATGCACTATATAAATATTCTTTAATAACAACAACAGTTTACTGGATTTTTAATCTGCCAGTAACTTATGTTCAAAAGGATTGTGGTCTGGTTTTTGATGTGATCTTGTTAACAAAACCTGGACAGTTAACCATTTTTTATTTAGATTGTAGATCTGGATCAGAAGCGGAATCAGAACCGGGAGGCCCTGACGGCTCTGAGTAAGGAGGTGGACGCCACAGGTGAGGGGTCTCTTTGACAAATGGCTGCATTCCCAGTCAGACTCTTGGTCCATTGGATGCAAGCTTGCCTACTCCAACTGGCAGCAGTTCTCCAGGGTCTTTGGAAGGTGCCTTTTCCAGGCATAAATAAAAATTCCAGCTCTGGAATAAGCTCCCCAGAGCAAGGCGACTTGCACCCTCAATGCAATCATTTTGGCGCCAGGTGAAGGCATTTTTATTTTTCGGACTGTATAGTGTTTTAAAATTTCAGATGAATTTATTGATGGTTTTAGTTTACTATACCTCTTAATATTTAACTGATCTATGTATTTGCCTAAATTGTGCTATTTTGTACTTACTGTACTTCATTGGTTTTAATCGTTCCCTGCTCAGAGAGGACTTGGGACTATTGGCATGGTTTATAAATTCAGTAAATAAATAAATGTGGCAGTTGAAGGGTATGCCTTTTCAAAAGAAAAGTGAGTGATGAATCACAGTTTGTGTAAAGCGCAGGGACACCTATATGGGAATGGATGATGCTGAAGATGGGAATCCTGCAGAGAGCAGGATAAACAGATTGTGATAAAAAAGGTGATGTCGTTGGGGCAGCGTATACTGAACTGCCCCGCTGAGACGATGGCATGGACTGTGCTTTTCTAGGACAGATGACGCAGCGTTCATAGAGCCAAACCGTAGTGGCAATGGGGGAATTTCAGCTTCTTCTTAGCTCTGCAAAGAACAAAACATAGAAACAGAGCGAGTCAGAAGGGGTCTCTTGGGCCATCTAGTCTGACCTCTGGCACCAGCCAGCTCCGCTCACGAAATGCCCACCATGTGCATGTCCAGCCTATCCTTGAACACCCGCACCGATGGAGCCTCAGCGACCCAATTTTTACTTGCTTGTAGCTTCATTACTTAGGACAAGGAATGGGAGGATCTGTGGTTCTGGGCTTCATCCTGACCAGTAGGAAAGAAATGGTGAATGACGAGGAATTGTGTCATCTTGGAGTCGGTGACAGAGAAGGCTGTGAAGACTGAGGAAGCTGAAGCTGAACCAGGGATGCTGGGAGTTGCAGTCCAGCACCTCTGGAGGGCAACAGGCGGGGAAGGTTGCTGTGGCAGCCGTGCCGTGAGACCAGTGAAATCTGCATTCTGCCTTGTTTTCCATAAGCTGAGCTTTTGTCTGCTCATGGGGTCGCTGTTGTCCCTAATCCTTCCTCCTCTCAGTACTGGAGGTACTGCTGTGGTTGCCCACTGTAAGCACTTCCCCAGAAGCAAATCTGGAATAGAGAACACGAGAAAAGTCCCGCTGGATCAAACCAGTGGCCCATCTAATCTACCAGTCTGTACACATGGTGGCAAACCAGCTGCTCGCAGGACGGGGGCAAGAGCTGCTCCTGCCCAGTTCCCCAGCAACTGGTGTGCCTCTGGTGGAGGCGGCAGCTCATGGCCAGCAAGGCTAGTAGCCCTGGATAGCCTCCTCCCTCCTCGTGAATCTGTCTAGTCCCCTTTTCGAGCCATCCAGATTGGCGGCCGGCACCACTCCCTGTGGCAGCGAATCCCATAGTTTAACTCAATGCTGTGTGAAGAAGGACTTCCTTTTATCTGGCCTAAACCTCCCACCAGTCACCTTCGTGGAATGACCCTGGGTTTGAGTGTTATGAGAGAGGGAGAAAAATGTTTTTCTCTCTCTACTTTGTCCACACCATACATTATTTTGAACACCTCTATCGTGTATTATTCACCCTTTTTCTAAGCTGAACAATCCCTTTTGATATAGCCACTCCTCAGGGGAGCTGTTTCAGCCTCATGATAATTTTCGTTGCCCCTTTTCCAACTCAATAATGTCCTTTTTTAGGTAAGGCAACCAGAACTAAACACAATATTCCAGGGACATTAAACTGAACAGTTATAAGGAAAGTAATGTTTTGGCAGTTCTCTTTTTATTCCTTTCCTAATTCTGCCTAGCATGGAGTTTGCCTTTTTCACAGCAACTGAGCACTGGTTTGACATTTTCATTAGTTGTCCACCACAACCCCGAGATCCCTTTCTTGCTCAGTCACTGCCAGCTCAGATCCCATCAGCATATACATGAAGTTGTGATTTTTAGCCCAACATGCATTACTGTATGTTGTTAGTCACAAAGTCGTGTCCGACCCATCGCGACCCCATGGACAACATTCCTCCAGGCCTTCCTGTCCTCCACCATCCCCTGGAGTCCACCCAAGCCCACACCCACTGCCTCAGTGACCCCATCCAGCCACCTCATCCTCTGCCGTCCCCTTCTTCTTTTGCCCTCCATCGTCCCCAGCATTAGGCTCTTCTCCAGGGAGTCCTTCCTTCTCATTAGGTGGCCAAAGTATTTGTTTCATCTTCAGTATCTGGCCTTCTAAAGAGCAGTCAGGGTTGATCTCCACCAGGACTGACCGGTTTGATCGCCTTGCGGTCCAGGGGACTCGCAGGCGTCTCCTCCAGCACCACAATTCCAAGGCCTCAATCCTTTGGCGCTCAGCCTTCCTTACGGTCCAGCTTTCACAGCAAGTATACAGCATTACTGTATACTTGCTTATTACATGTAAGTCACCTGCTACTGGCTAGTCCAACAGTGATTTGAAGCATTCAAGAGAAATGCTTTTCAAGTGATAGCAAGGAGAAGTTTACCCTTGTGACTGGGGCAGATGCCTCGAAGCAGCTACCTAAATGCAGCCCCTCCTTTGTATCCCCTCAAATGCCGTAGGGGAGCCTCACACTGCCGTTCCTGGCATGGAACAACAAGGAAGCTCAAACTTACAAAAACAACTAATTGTTGCAGATGCGAATGATAGAAGTTGAATGCAAGATGATTATGCCCGGAAAGCAAGATCATTAAATTGTCAAGGCTGCTTGTATTCCTTGTTGAAAGTACTCCCAAGCCTGCATTTAGAAGACTGAGATTCCACACTCGGAAAGAATAGTACAAATGAGACTATGTTCCTTTTTGAACATTACATAGAAACAGAGCGAGTCAGAAGGGGCCTCCCGGGCCATCCAGTCTGACCTCCGGCACCAGCTGGCTCTGCTCACGACAGGCCCACCATGTGGATGTCCAGCCTATCCTTGAACACCCGCACCATCGTGATCGTTGAGACCGAATTTACTGCTTTTTAATAAATCGGATGGAAACAAAGCACATGCTTAAATCCTCGGAGCGCTTCTGCAACAGGTTCCAATCTTTGGAGAAGGCTGCATACCTAGAATTACAGAATGACGTGGCCAATAGCCTGGGTGTACAATGGCACTGAAGTTCCAACATGCAAAATCTTGGCTGTGCCACCTTTTCCCCTCTGCCTTGTAGTTCTCATTTGGTTTGGCTGTGAGAACTCTCTTGAGTTTACTGCCTGCTTCTCCCTCCATAGGCATGAAGGGTACGAAGATCTTGGCAGCTGCTCCTCTGTTCTGGAACTCATGTCTCTCAGAGACTCGCCACAGCTTTTGGAAATGTTACAATTCCTTTCCATTTGGGGCGTTTTCTTTAATCAGCTGTATATTAAGACCTAACCCTAACCTCAACCCCTGTAAATTTGATGCTGGGTTCCAGAAGATTTTGAAAAACTAGTCCATCTTTGTGTTGGGCTATTTCCTAATAATACAGTTTTTCCCAAACCTGTTTAAATTAATCAATTATAAAATTGGCAGTGGTTTTCTCGGTGTCAGTGGGGAGCAGACAGAAAAGATTTTCTTGCATGATCCTGACTGGCATCGAGAACAGGAGCCAGCCTGATGCCTGTGCTGAACCGTGCACCATGGAGGTTTTGCAGTGCTGCTAGTAACTGCCCAGCGCTTGCTTGCAACTGTAAATAGGGAGGGTTAGTACAGGAGCTGGTGCAGGGATTGTGGCGTTCCGTGACAAGTTACAGTTGCCATTACTCTTCAAAACTGCTGTTTTCTCCCTCCTCTGTATCTCATACATGCCCATCTTATGTGGATGCTTTCTGAGAGCACATTAAGTCGGATGACGAATGTCGGCCACAAGTAGCAGCTTGATTCCTCTTCTCTCTGGGGGACGAGCACATACAGCAAATTGTCTGGCTTCCCTTGCACACCCTGAAGCTTTTGTGTTAATGAGGGCAAGGTGTGGAAGACACATTCTCAGCCCGTGATGGCGCCTGGATTCTTGTAAGACGGGCCAGGCCTCTGTCCAGTGAGAAACTTGAGTGTCTGCTGTACCTCTTCTGTGCTTGTGACGTGGCATTGTGGGTTATTTCTCATCCCAAGCTCGCTGGTGATTCCTCCCCTCTGCTGCACCTGCCTACATTGTGCGGTCGAGTTGGGGCACCTAGTTGGCGATATAAGCGGAGGACCAGTATGAGGATCTGCCATTATAACGTAGAGACTTGGACACTGGTGCTTTAATGAGGGTTTGCTTCTTTGCTTTCAGATGAAGTCATGGTTTGCTTTGGGAATATGTTTGTGCAGCTTTCGAAAACAAAGACCAGGGACATGTTGCAAAGAGGTGAGATCCAGCAACGCTGCGGCATCGTGCTTGCAAAGTCTCCCTGTTTCAAGGGCCGAGTCTCTCTACCAGATGGGAATACTGCCAGAGATAGCTCGGGAGTATTTTACCTCATTTCTCCACCTCCCCGTAGCTGAAGCTGCCTGAGCAGTTCACAGCTGTCCATGGGGACGTGACGCCCGGGACGGATTCAGCCCTTTGTGTGCTTGCTGAGCTTTCCTGCACCCGGCCAGGCCAGGAAGCAAGCCGAGCCAAGATGAGCGTGAGCACTGGGAACGCTAGCAGCTTCTTTGCACAGAGCAGATGATTTTTTGCACACAGTCTGCGAAGTCCGCAGACTGCATGTGCAGAAGCAGAATTGCGCTTGTGCAGAGGGCACATGGGTGGCCTGTGGGGAACCTGGCTTCAGGGACTTGCTTCCTGCCACATGCATATAGGAACACTCAGCGAGGTGGGCTTAGGCCAGAGAAGGCAAACGCATCCAGGCAAACTAGGAATCCAGTGGATTCCCACCCCCAAGCAGATCCCTCACATGGCGCTAGTGATGGCTCATCTGAGTTCAGTTCAGAGCTCAGCACCACCTTTGCTTCCTCCGTTCTGGCAGCTTTGTGGTGAGGTAGTAAATGTTGGTCAAACAGGATTTGGGGGCTGACGGGGCAATTTGCTGCTGGAAACGAGATGAGTGAAGCGGAAGACGGGCGCTGAGCGAACTGGTGATCCCCGCTCGCGGCCCACGTTGCCTGCCTGCCTGCCTGCCTGCCTGTGGGGGACATCAGAATTTGCAGCAGCCAAAGTATGGCTTCCACATGACACCTGCCCATGTGGCACAGACAACATCTAGCCGGACTGCCTCAGCACCGCACCTGTCCAGAAAGAGCCCGTAGCTGCCCATGTGCTCGTTGGCCCTCTGCAGTTTTGCACGAGGGGATGCGTGGTTTAAAAAAACGCACCCCTGAGCTTTGCTTTCCGAGATCTGTTTCTAGCCGTGGTATATGAAGCGTGTGCAGGGAGTGCCTGTCAGGCAGCTAGAATGGGAGGCTTGCAAAGACCAAAGCCAGTCAGCCAAGCTGTGCGCTGCCCGGAGCCCCCGGGCTGCTTCCTGCCCCGCCCTGTAACATGGTGGCGTGCCTGTTGGGCAGGGAAGGGGAACAGGCGTCTTCATGTAACGCAGTCAGCAAGTTTGGGGTATGGCAAAAGGGCCCTTGTACAGTCACGATTGCCTCTGAGGGACAAAACAAGGAATAACCTGAACTTTTCCTCCAGATCAGGAACTCCTAGATGAGGAGATAGCCAAACTGCGAGAAGAGCTAAAAGTCAAGGTCAACAATCTCCTGGAAGCGCAAGGTATTTGCTAAGCAGGATGTAATCACCGGGTTTGGTACCGAATGTGATGGGAAGCTGGGCTCTTTGTAGTGTCTCAGGCACAGATCACGTGGGTGGGCTGTTGTCTTCTGCCGGTTGCCGCCGCTCTTCATGCCATCCCAGAAAGCGAGGCGAGGCCCGAGAATGGAGGCATGGCGGTTTGTGGTGGGTGCTTCCCGTGTTGAACCTGGGGGGCGGCTGGGGTCACGGCTCCAAGAAGTACACCTTCTGGGCTGTGCCGCTCCACGTGCCGATGAAGGGGCCTCACTCTTGTGCAGGGGGAGGTGTGCAAGGATAGAAACAACTGTGTGTCCTTCACAGATTGAGGCACTTGTAGAATGCATCCACTGAACAAAATCACAGGCCTAGTAAACAGGGCCGAATTGAAGGAAATGTGTCAGTGGTTTCTAAAAAGGAGCAAGCAGGGGCAGGGGGCTTTCTCAGGACCATTGTGGTCCCGGGGGGGGGGGGGGCTGGCCCTTGGCCTGCTGCTCTGATTCCAGTCCAGGCTGGGCTCACTGGAAGCAAACGCCGCCATTTCCAGCAGTAGCAGCTCTTCCTTTGGGCCAGAGCAGCAGGCACCAGGGCCCGGACCTGGAGTGGGACGCGGGCGAGCAGCAGCGGGCGTCTAGGGCCATATCCAGGCAGAGGAAGCAGCCCCTGCCAGTGAATCTAAAAAGGCATCCACGCCGTAGCTGGCTCTGCACGCGTTGTGGCTGTCGGTGTCCCTCCCGCTTGAACACTGAGTGACACCGTCTGGTCCCTCCCCCTCCTGCCCCGGCAGACGGGCCTCTTCCTGGCAGTGTCCGAGCAAGGTTTCTTGGGGACGGAAGGTGCTGGTGCTGGATTCCACCCCTCCCTTCCCCCAGGACTCCTCAGCAATGGCTTATCAAGCTGCAGGGCCCAAAGGCAGCGGAGAAGCTTTCCAAAGCAGGCTCCTTTCCTGCTGTTTGTTCTTCCACCGAAGAAAATAGGGACTTCTGAGCAGAGTTGGGCTTAACCTGGCCTTCCTGCCCCAGTGAAGCCACCCAAGTATCTAAATGCACCGGCTCACTTGCTGCTTTCGCCTCCCTTGCCTTTCCCTCCCGGCCGTCAGCTCCTTGTGCTGAGGGCTTGGGCGTTGCTTCTGCTAACGCTGGGCAGCATTGTGCCCGTTGATGGAATACCCGGCTCCAGGCAATGTGGGCGGCACAGAGGCTCTACCGATCTGGTTAGTGCTGCTACAAAAGAGTCTTCAGGACAATGTGGTATCTCCTTATTCTTTCTGAAGGTAAACCGGAGCTGAAAGGCTACAATCTAAAGCCCTTGAATACTGAAGAAATGTTGTTCATGAGAAAGGTGGTGGAGGGCTGAGGCGGTCTCTTCATGCAGACTTTGCAGCTGCTTCTTTCATGGAGAAAGTTGCTGATCGCACAGGAGGCAACTTCACACCCAGATCTGTATTTCCTGAGCTGTTCAGCATCTGATTATTGGCATCTTCTGTGGCAGCGTTTCCTCCAGCCAGTCAAGTTACTGCAAATCTGCAGAGAAGCACGCTTCAGCTTTCTCACATCTGACAGTCTGGCTGGCGTACAAGCATTAAAACCTGAGGAACAGAAGAGCTGCGATGGGCCAGGACTCTGCCACTGTAATTCAGACTGCTGGAAATAAAGCGGCAGGAACAGAACCGTCATCCCCCTCACCCAGGACGAGAATGCGCAGTTAAAATGTGTGTAGCTCTGAGACAATAAATCGTACACTCAAATTTAAAAGGTGCTCTTGTTCAGCTTGCTCGTGTTAAAACTCTTTGCCTGAAGTCAGCAATTCTCATCGGTTAAAACTCTGGGCACCAAGCCCAGGTAGCCTGAAGTGTCCCTTCGCCTGGCAGCCTGTCTTCCGGCACTGTGTGAAGAGTGTTGCAGGCCAGGTGGGTAAAGCACCGAACAGCACAGCTGGGAATGCTCGCCTCATCTCTTGGCTTCAGTCAAACATCTGCTAGTGTTTCTGCCAGCCTCAAAGCGAGTGTGCTCTCTGGGATTCTGGATGCTGCTAATTGATTTACGTTGATATAATTAACTTTCCTGTTTGCATTAATTACTAAGAGTGGCGAGGAAGGCAGAAACCCAAAAATACCACCTTCAAAAATAGAGGAGTTCTGAGTTCGGGTTATCCCCTATGGCCAAAATTTCCTTTACACATCTTATTTCCACCAGTAGATGGCACACGTCCCCCCCTCCCAGGCTCAGCCTGGAAAGGGCCGCGTCAAGCTGCTCTGCCGGCATTCCCACGGGATTTGGCTCCCCGTGGGGACTGAGGCTTAACTGGGGATTACAGGAGCGTTCGCCGGGAGCCACAGGAATCCTGGCCGGGACATTTTTTCAGCAGGCTTTCTTGAAAGCGGCTGCTGCCCTGCCTTTCCACGCAGCCCATTCCCACCCACATCCCCTGATGATGGACGTGTATGAGCGGGTCAGACCTACTGCTGTCACACAGTCTCCCCAAACGTCTGGGTCAATGAAAGCTGACCCTCAATAACCTGAGAAAGGCCCTGCTGGATCAGGCCCAAGGTCCGACCGGTCCAACGTGCCGTACACGCGGAGGCAAACCTGCTGCCCACAGGATTCCAGCAGGACGGGGGCGAGACCTTCCTGCCCAAGCGCTTCAGCAGCTGGAGTAGGCAGGCAGGCCGCCTCTGGTGGAGGGGGCAGCACGTGGCCAGCCAGGCTAGCACCCACAGATTGCCTCCCCCATTTCTCTGCCCGACCCCCTTGCGACGCCATCACCACTTCCCGAGGTGGAGAATCTCACAGCTGGACTACATGCTGTGTGCGGAAATAGTTCTATCCGTCTGAAACCAGCTACCGCTCAGCCTCATGGGATGTCCCGGGTTCGAGAGTTGGAGAAAAATGCCTTTGCTCCACTTCCTCCACACCATGCATCATTTTGAAGACCTCTATCCTGTTTCCCCTTCGTTTGCCCTTTTTCCAGCCTCCCCCCCACCATCATTTTCATTGCCCTTCTCTGCACTTCTTCCAACTCGGTGTTCTTTTTCTGGTAAGGGGACCAGCGTGAAACAACATTCCAACTGCAGTCCCAGCAAAGATTGGTTTAGGGGAAGTAAGAGTTTGGCAGTTCTGTTTTCTGCCCTGTTCCACGGCAGGGGCATGCTGGGAGTTGCTGACCGCCTGTCTGCAGGGTGCAAGCTCAGGTAAGGCTGCACTAGTTCCCCATGGCAAAGATGCAGCACCCACACCAGAAGCCCTGTGGGGTGTCACGGGATTGGGGCTCTACCCTTTCTATTTCCCACAGTTTTTCAAATGCCCAGGGAGCCACTCTGACCAGCTCCCACCCACAAAGGGGCTTCCTGTGATACGGTGAAACTGGGGCGGGGCAGGGGGGTCACTGGTTAGCCCAGCCTACTGGAGGGGGCCTCTTCCCAGTTGCATCTGCAAGCTGCCAGTGGCTTTCGTGGCCTGGGCATCCCTGTACCATGACAGTCCTTCAAGTATTTATTCCTTTAGTTCCACTGCTTAGAACAGCAGGGAAGTCACCTTCCGTGTGCAAGAACTCGCTCAGAACCTTGACATCCACGGATGCCTTGTGCTTTGAAACGGGACAGTTTCCCCCAAGTGGCGAAATCCATTTATCTCCCACCTGCAAAAACAGAGAGGTCTTGCCCTGAACAGTGTGCTTAGCATGTTTTGCTTCGATATCAATGCTTGCACCACAGCCATGCGCACCAAAGGAGAGGAAGGGGCGCATCGGCTCAGTCTAGGTGCCCCGTGTCTCCCTACCCCGATCCTGGACTTGAGTCTCTTGTCACAAACCAAAGGATGCACCGCCGTCATGAGGCATCAACTTTTATTCCCACTTCTTGAAATGCCTTCGCGTGAGGTCTTCAGCTGGGATGCGCTCCCCCTGCATTGTGGGTGAGGGCAGCTGTGTCGCTGTCGTCAGCAGGCAGAGCAAAAACTGTGTCCCCCCCGCCCCCCGCCCCAGTCTCCTCCGATTGCGCGGTCCAGGTTAAATGCTTTCTGGGCAAGTCACACACCGGCTTCTCACCAAACACGGCAATGGCTCCGCCTTGCAATAGGCTGCACTGGAATCCACTCTGGCCTGCCTTCGGCCTGCCTGTGGGAAACGGGAATCTGTTTCTCCGAGGGTGATCCCAAAGATCCCAAAGGAATTCCAGCAGCTGCATGCTGGGGCAAGGAGCGCTGTTCAGCCAGGCAGTGAGGAGGAGGATTCGGCAGGTCCCCGGCGCAGGACTGTCTCGACTGTCTCTCCTGCAGCACTCTGGCTGAGTGCTACACTTTCGGCTGTGTCTGAAAAGGCTTGAAGAGCTGCTTCAGCTGTTTCTTCCTGTCATTGTTGTAGCCTGGAACGAGAGCGATAACAAGGCATTGTGTGCGACTTGTCTCCTCCGCGGAGTAGAAGATAATTGGCTGCTCCGACCGAGCTGAGCCGCTGCCCATTGGAACGTCCACCTGGAGGAAATGCTGTACGTGCCTCTCAGCCCCTGATGCTACCGGGCAGGCTGTGACGGGCACGGGGCTGGGGGAAGCGAAGGTGGGGAGCGAGAGCCACGTCTCTCCAGCGTCAAGCCAGGAATGGATCGCAAAATTGTGGTACCTTCATTGTGTGCCTTCTAGGCGGTGTTTTCCAAGGGAAATGGAGAACCACAGGGCTGCATGGTTCTCTAAAGGAACTATACGAGAACATTTTTTAAAAAATCTCAAACTATCATATTCTCATCTCTCAACCATGCTGACTGAACCGCTCACTTAGGACAGCAAAATTGATTTGGGAACAAGTCCTCTGAATAGTTTGGCAAGTCCTACGCCCACGAGGCCGCCTGACCACTACCAGTGGTGGGAGTTTGCATGTCTCTTTGGGGGTACCTGGGGAGAAAAACAGCGAGACCTGCAGCCTCACGCAGGTGATGGGCCAGAGTCCTGCCCACAGCCCGCAAGGGCCCTGCAGCTCGGTACCTAGATGTGTGTTTGCCACAAAGCCGTTCATGGGTGTATCCAGGTTCCCGTCTCCTCTGCTGACAGGCCCGTCATTCCATATGAGGTCGAAGCCTCCCACGCGCTTCTCTTTCCCTGTCAACCTGCAGGAGCGAAAGCAGCACTGAATGAGTCCACTGCCGTGTAACTGCCTCAAAGGGCCGAACTCTGCAGCTGGTCTAAAATACAGACACGCCTTTAACGCTTGCATGCGGGCGCCAGCGCCAAGCTCACCCTGCCCAGGGTTCCAGCAAAAGCGCGGGCCTTTGGCCTGCTGGACGGATTCCCTGCCTCTGCTGCCCATGGCCCCGTGTTTGTCCAAGGACAAGTCCAGATAGGAGCATGGGAGGGCACGCCTGGGTTTATACCCGTCCCCTGTCGCTAACTGCACCAGCAACTCCACCCTGCTCCCCACCCGGATCGGAGAGCACAGGGATCCGAATGGGGCGCGGTCAATGGGGTGCAGCCCCGCAGCTGCACAGCGATCCCTTTGTGGGCACGGATCGTATCCGCTCGCTCCTCGCTGCAGGATGCTGGACAGAGAATCGGGAAAGCTGCGGCTCAGGGAGAATCCCTCCAGAGCAGACTGGCCCATCTGGTTTATGGGTGGACAAGACTCGTTTGCACGCTTTGCCTTCCTGAAATGTTTACCGCTCTGCTCCCTGTGGACGCAGTGTTCTGGGAACATAAATTTAGCACCTGCAGAATGCCAGAAGGTACAACCTGGCAAGCAGGGGGTTGGGACCCTCTTCCGCTGAAGGGCAAGCCCCGTCATCTCACCCAGGATGCCTGGAGGACTGTGTCCTGTGGGGAAACAGTCATGGGGAGCAGAAGGCTGGAAACCCACTCCTTGTTTCTGAGCCTTTGACCTAATCTGAATAAAGGCAGGGCTTGAAATACACAGGATGGGGGGCGGGGAGGGGGGAGGCAGGGGCGATGAAGCGGGGCCCCTAAGCACAGCTTGCTTGCCAGCCTGCGTATTTTCATTGGACAGAGACTCCAGTGGGACCCCCCTCCCACTGGAATAATGGAAAATGCACACAGAAATGGTAACAGGCCTCAGTATGGTGGACAGCACAAATAACGCAGCCCATCGTCCACAGCTCACCTGCCCTCCATGTCCACTATGTTCAGTGTGTCCTCGAGAAGGCGGGTCTTGAGTTCATAGTCCTCCTGGCTGCTAGCCGTGAGAGACGGGGAGGCGTTCACTTCTAGCAGCCACCTGCCAAGGGAAGCGGAGCAGAGCATCGGGTGAGAAAGGGCCGTGCCATCCGCCTGCCTCGTCAGTCTGCTGCTGAGGTGGCGGCCGGTCCGGAGAGCCAGGCTGACCTGCCACTGGGGGTGCGAGCTGAGCCACAATGCCCCGGGGGTGGGAGGAGGAGAGGGGCAAGGCTGAGCGAGACCGGCCTCCTCTGGACCCTTTCCAATTTTTCTGCATCTTTCTTGAACTTCGGTGCCCAGAAATGCACACAATACCCCAGGTGAGGCCTAACTAGTTCTGAGTAAAGGTGAACTATTAATTCTTGTGGTTTGGAAGTGGTTCTTTTATTAATGCACCCCAAAAATTGCATTTGCCCTTTTAGCGGCTACAACACATTGTTGGCTCATATTTAGCTTGTCCACAACCACTTCAAGGTCCTTCTTTTCCACCGTACTGCTGAGCCAAGTATTTCCCATCTTGTACTGAGGCATTTGGGTCTTTTTCCCTCGGTGGAGGACTTGGCATTTCTTCCTAATGAATTTCATTCTGTTGATTCCAGCCCAGCATCCCAGCTTATCCTGGGTCTTCTTTCTGTCCTCCAGTTTTATGTCACCTGCAGATGTATCATTCCTTGTACTTCCTCATCTAGATGAGGAATAAGGAAATTGAGAAGCACGGGGCCCAGGACCGAAGCCTGGGGCACCCCACTGGTTACCTCTCCCTGGTTTGAGAAGATGCTGCTGATGAGCAGTGTGGTGTCGTGGTGAAGAGCGTGGGACTGGGACTCAGACGGCCTTTGTTCGAGTCCCTGCTCAGCCATGGAGCCAACTAGGTGACCTTGGGCCAGTCACAGACTCTCAGCCCAGCCTACCTCACAGGGTTGTTGTGGGGAGAAGATGGAGGAGGAGAATGATGTAAGCTGCCTTGAGCCCTTTGTAGGAAAAAGGCAGGATATGAATGAATGAATGAAAGAGTGCTCTTTGAGTCCAAATCTGTAGCCGCTTCTGGATCCACCTGACGGGTCTTTTATCTGGTCCACCCCAGCGAGAATCGCGTGCCATGCAGCCCCGCTACATTTCCCCGGCAAACACACCCAAGGGCTCTCAGCCAGTTCGATCCTTATCGCACCTCTGAAGGACCCAAGGAGCGCAGCGCTGGGAATGCCTTTCCAGACCCCGGTTCCCGACAGCAGTACGATTGCTCTTTCCCACGGGGGCGGGGGGGGGTGCAGCAGCAACTGCTCAACGCAGCCCAAGGCGCTGCCCCTTCCCTCTCTGAGCTGGGAGTGTGGCCCCTCAACGCAGCGCTACTGGGCGGCACGGGCATGAGACAACGCGAGCGACAGGCACATCTCCTTGGAAGAAAGAGGCGTGTGAGCAAGCCGTGCTTGCAGCCCCCGCTTCGGCGACCTTCCGCCGCTCAGCTGAGCTCACTGCACGGCCCTGGTCCAGTTCGCACCGGCACGGGCAGGCCCGTGTCTCCTCTTGGCATTCGAGTGGCGTTCTGCATGCCCCTCGCTCATGCAGAGGTGCTTCCGTCCTGGCCGCCTTTGTGGCCGAAGAGGCAGCCTTGTCTTCGAGCGTCTTCTTGAGCGCCCATCGAGCCAGCGACGCAGCCGGGGAACTCCAGAGCTCGGCCTAGGGTCTCCTGGGCCCCTCCGTAGCGGAGGGCACCCCTTCGCCCCCAACCACCTTTCCATGCCTCGCAGCTCCTTCGCCCTTCTGCGCAAACGGTTTGCCAGCATTGCCTTAATGATGGCGACACCCTGAGCACATGCAGCCCTGTATTTTAAACCTGCTTGAATCGAAACGTCAGCATGCCTACAGGGCCTGTGTCTGCTGCCCTCATCGCCAGCCACTCCCTGGCTGGTAATTTGGGGCGTCGGCGCCCTGGACCTTGGCCGCAGGGCAGAAAGCTTGGGGTGCCTAAGAAGCCTGCGGTCCATCCAAGGAACGCGACACAGAGCTGCACGGGGGAAGCGTTGCTACGTCTTGCCCTCGCCTTTCTAGCCAGTGGCAGCGGGTCGAGCCACCGGCTTCAGAGCCTTCCTAGGCTCGGAGGACATCTGTCCCCCCTGCCGCCACCACGAGGTGGGTATCCCCTGAAGAGCACAGGGAATGCATCAGCAGCAGTTCTGAAGGCTGCCGGGAGCTCCCTCTGGTGACGGGAGGCGCTGCCGCTCGCTCGATGGCGGAGCACGAGGTCCGCATGCAGAGGGCCCCAGGCTCAACCCCTGGTGTGAGGGTCTTGGGCAGCTGGGCTCCGAAAGAACCTGGGGCCTGAGACTGCGGAGAGCCCCTCTCAGGAGCAGTCAATAGCCAGCAAGACAAAATTCCGGTCTGGAGCAACGTTACCCTGTAGCCCTGAGCTCGAGCTCACGCCGGTCCTGTTTATTTACAATTCATTTAATTCGTATCTATACCGCCCAATATACCGCCCCTGCGCCTCTGCTGGCCAGGGCTGATGGGGGCCCTCGGCTGAAAGACGCGGGGACCGCAAGGCAAGCCGCCACTCCTGGCTCGAAAGAGGCCAGTGAAAAGGACTCCTTTCCACCAGTGCCTGCTCAAGTGCGAACCCCCCACCCGTCCAGTCCGAGCCATCACATGCAGGGGAAGCCCCCCAGGAATATCAAACACAGAGAGTGCCCTGCGGCGAGGCCGCCGCTCGTGATCTCAGCAAGGACGCCGCCCATCCGTGGGTTCCCTGCGGCGATGCGTCCTGGGCACAGGCCACAGGAACTCGCCCACGCGTCCCGCAGAAGCTTGCATCCCCATCGCCTGGCGATCCTGCCCTCCGTCCCCCCAGCTGCCCGCTGCCGCCCCCGCCAACTCTCCCTGCCTCCCAGCTGCTCTCAGACTAGATGGCCCAGGAGACCCCTTCCGGCTCGCTCTGCTCCTCCGTTTCCCTCCTTACGGCTTGAGGTCCTGGTCGATCAGGATGTCGTAACCGTACAGCTCGAAGCAGTGCTTGTCGCTGATGATGACTTTCTGGACGCTCTGCAGGCTCCTGATGAAGATGTTGTCCATCTCGGAGAAGAGGTTCTCGGTGCTCTCCGCCCCGTGCTTGGCCGTCAGGTACAGGCGGAACTGCTGGATCATCCACTTGCATCCCTGCCCCAAGACAGGCTGATTAGTGGAGCCGAGCCGAGCCGAGCCGAGGAGGCAGCCTGCTGAGCTTGGACTGGGCTGGCCTGGGCTCAGACCACCGCTCAGCCAGGCAGCCCCCTCACTACTGGGCCGCTGCCAAACCAGCTCACACAGTGACCACTGGCTACAACGCAGGCGGGTGAAAGCGAGGTGCAGCTGGGGCTGAAGCGACAGACAGACACGCCCCCGGATCACCAGGAGCGGCCGCTGCCGCCACCGCCGCCCCCCCAGCTGGCCCGGGTGGCCCTCGGGGGTTTCCGCACCCCGGGGCTTTTCTGCATTTGCCGTGCTGCAGGGAGGACGGCCATCACGACGAGCGTGCGCAGCACTGAACGGAACGAAGCGTGGAGGCAGCCTCTGCCCAGAAACCTGCCACGATGAGGGGCAGACCGACCGGTGCATGCAGGGCTGCGTGTGCGGGCGGCACAGCTACGGCCGAGCACGGGGCAGTTCAGGAGGTGCTTCTCGCAGGACAGGCACACGACCTGCTGAATGGGAAGGACCGAGTGGTGTGCTGAAGGGCACCCCGGTGGGAGGAGGCAGAGGGGATGGGGTCGGCAGCCATCGAGCATGTATTGGAGGGGAGACCTGGGCCTAGTGCTAGGGGGGAACCAGGGCAGGCCTGGCCTGTGGCTCTCCTGGGCATGCCTGTGCCACACCGAAGGTGCAAGGAACACACTGAAGCTGCTGCTCCCGCGACACAAGCGTCTGTAAGCACGCGAGGGACAGGGGGAGAGGCAGGGACATGGAGCCCGGGGAGAGCTGGAGGGCTTCGTGAGCATTGGGAGCAGGAAGCTGACACAGAGGGCCCGGGAAGCCAGTGCGGCGAGGCAAGAGAAGGGAGAGAAGGCATGGTCGCAGCCCCGGAAGGTGGCCGTTGCAGGCACCGGGGAGGCCCCAAGGAGGAGTGTGTGGCAGCCGTGCACGAACACTCCAGGGTCCCCAGAGGCCAGTGGGGGACTCGAGTCCTTCCAGCAACAGATGAGAACCAGGAGGTAAAGAACCAGGAGCAGCTGGGAAGCGCTCCCCCGTGTTCCTTCCAAGCCTGCCTGCGTTTCCCCTGCAGCAAACCCTTAAAACACTCCGCTACTTTCGAAGCTGTGCCCATTTCAGTGGGGGAAACCTGGCTGTGGGTAGGACAGGTTTCCCTTCCCACCTGAATGTCCTCCAGCTGCGCTGGACTACAACTCCCATAATTCCCAGCCAACGTTAGCATGTTAATCAGTTCACGGGCCACGATTAACCCAGGTTAAATCCACCTATGATAGCCCAGTAGCTTGGGTGCAGTTCCCTTCCCTGTCGCCCCCAGAGTGTTTCTGCGATTGCACCAAAGTGCCTGCAACGTGCTGAAAAACCGTACGCGTTCACAGGTTGCTCGAAATGTTGCTGCAGCATGTTTGCTGCTTTTGCTTCATGGATTTGTTTTGTGTAGCTTGGCCCACCTGCTGGATGCACGCTAAGGAACAGCACGGGGAGGTGAAGGAAGTGCCCAGAAGATGGCTCACCTTCTCGGGGTCGTAGTCGGGGGCCGTCTTCTGCACCGCGACATTCGTTAGGTGAACATCTGCCACGAAGTGGGGTAAGGAAAGCATGCGCAGGAGGGGCGCGCTCAGCACCCGAAGGTCAGGCCTGCCCCCCAGCAGCCCCACGGAGCTCTGGCTCCCAGCCATGTATCCTCTCACCCACCCACCCGACCGATACCTGGGCCCCCGAGGGGGAAACAGGCAGGGTCTGTCCATGACAAGGTGAAGCAGGAGGAAATGGGCATCTCGCTGTCCGTGCAGGAAAGTGGAGAGCTAAAGGCCGAAGCTGCCCTGATGGTCCCAAGCTGGGCTTCCCTCCCTCACCTGAGGCTCCACAGCCCTTGCCGCGCACCGGGGTCCCGGTTCAGCCCCGGCACTTCCGGCCACAGCCTGTCCGGCAGCGCGGAGGGCTCCTGCTCATCAGTGTGGGGTTAGGCAGGGGCACGTCCGTGGCCACAGACGGCCGCAGGTATGAAGGCTGCCTAGGGAGGCCTCGGCCATGATAAAGGTCAAGGTTTCCCCTTGACATTAAGTCCAGCCATGCCTGACTCTCAGGGGCGGTGCTCATTTTTTATTTTCTATTTTTTATTTTTCAATTCATATCCTGCCTTTTTCCTCAAAGGGCTCAAGGCAGCTGACATCATTCTCCTCCTCCATCTTATCCCCACAACAACAGCCCTGTGAGGTAGGTTGGGCTGAGAGTCTGTGACTGGTCCAAAGTCACCCAGCTGGTTCCGTGGCCGAGCGGGGACTCGAACCTGGATCGCCTGAGTCCCAGTCCCACGCTCTTCACCACGACACCACACTGGCTCTCCGTTTCCTGGCCGAGGGAGCCAGCGTTTGTCTGCAGACGGTCTCCGTGGTCGTGTGGCCGGCATGGCTAAACACCGAGGTGCTCGGAACGCTGTTAGGCGGCCTATAAATACATGTAAATAAATAGATGAATAGAGGCTGGGGAAGTCATGGTCCTCCAGCTGTTCTCGGGTACAGCTGCCATGCACTGTCCGGGCTGGGGCAGATGGCAGCTGTAGTCCAACAGCCTCCTGCCAGCCGCCCGTTCCCCATCCCAGATGTACGGCGGACGTGTTGCACAGCGGCTCCCAGCATCCCCCGGCCCACCCCGCTGGGAGCTGTGGTCCAGCACTGCCGGAGGGTACCAGGCTGCGGACGGCTGCCAAGGGGCCGCACGCTCACGGGCCGGCAGGCGGCCCCGTGCGCCGGGGCCTCGCTCGCGCCTTGCGAGGCAGCCCGTGGGGAGGGAGGCAACGGGCCAGGATACAGTGGTCGTCGATGGAATTCAGCGTGAAGCGGGTGTTGGAGAAGCGGGCGAAGCCGTCCCGGTAGAGCCACGCTTTGAGCGGGAGGTACTGGGAGGGAGGGAAAGCAGAGGTGAGCGGTGAGGCCTTCCCGGGAAGACCCCACGCGGGCGGGGAGGCCGCGGGTGGCCCAAGCACTCCGGCTCACTCACCGACATGACCAGGACGTACACCCGCAGGTCGAACTTCCGACCTGCAAACCAAAGAGAAAAGCGTCGGGGAGACTGCGATTCATTCCTTGCGGTCCAGGAACACCGCACCCCGGAGCTCAGATCGGTCTCTGTGCAGCACAGATTAGCTTGACGCTGCTGCTTAGGGAGGGAAGGACTGAAACACGGACGCCCGAAACACTGCCGGAGAATACCAGGAAGTCGTAATTTTTAAAAACCATCAGGGGCATCCATGTAGTTGTATGCCTCTTTCTGTGAGTCCATTCCCCTAGTGGCTAACAGCTTATCAGATGCGCAGCAATGAACGTGGCGATTCAGCATGGTGACAAAGCACGACAGTGCCGGTAAGGAAACGCCTATGAAAAAGGCGGTCCAGCCAAACAATGTGGAATAAAACAGTGCAAATTCATTGATATAATCCACCAGCTTGGCCGAAGGGAGAATAAAGCAAAGTGCAGCCAAACTTTCCCCTCCCAAGAGGCAACGGCAATTCCCCCCGATTATCCTGCCAAGACGGACCAGCAGCCACCCCTTCCCCACTCTTCCGATGCCACATCATCTGCAAAGCAGCTAAGAGCAGGTGGAAAGTCGAGGTCATCAAAGAAACCACGGACTCTTGTACAATAGTCCAGCATAATTGGGAACAACAGAACTGCTGCCTTGTCTTCTCCGAGGTGGCAGTGTGCTGCAAGCCATGGGCTGCCAAGTGCATAGGCCGTTGCCAGCGGAAGCCCGAGCGTCTCTTGGACTTCCCAGAGAGGGACCTCAGGGGGAGGTGTCCCGTGGGCACGGCCTTTGTGCCCCACCGCCATTTCAGGCCGGACCAGCAGAGGGAGCAATTTCCACGGGAGGAGCTCTGTGCTGGCGGGTCGCCCCAAGAACAGCTCTGTATTAAAGACAACGTGGTTACCAAGAAAACCGCATTTTGGACTGGTAGAGAGACTGGGCAGGCAACTCACCACCTATTAAATACGGGTTCTCGATATATCGCTGAGCCACATAATTCTCCACCGGGATTTCATCTTTCTGCTCATCGAAGCGAGCACCGTCCTGTGGAAAGAAATGAGGGGACTTGCTGGGATCGGAAGCACGGGAGCAACTGCTCAGCCAGGCTGGCCTGGACTCGGCACTTGCCGGTGCGCAGGAGGAGGCCGGCTGCACGGTTTGGGGCCCGGCAGGGAAGGTCTTCCCTGGGTTCGGCTCTGATGCGGGTTTTGCCGTCTGCTTCTGCTGCCGGGAGCCAGCACTGCACCGAAATGCTGCTGAACAGCCAGCCGGGCCACGCGAGGCAGCAGCGGGCAAGCGTGGGCCACCCACCCTTGGCTTCCTGGGCTGCCACACAAAGCTTTACAACCCCCCGTGATGGAAGCCAGGGATGCCTGGACGTGATGAATGTGGAATGTCAAGGACCGCAGAGCTCAGCATGGGCAGCCCCATCCTAGGCCTCTTCTGATATGATGGCTGGAAGAGTCTGTCTGCCTGTCTGCCTGGGGGACAGGTCCTGGGTGCGTGTGTTGTCCAGAGCGAGAGCTGGGAGGCCCAGCACCTTCTCCAGACTAGAATCACTGGGTCCCTTTGGCGAGAGGGGCAAAGGCATTGTATGGGGCACGAATGGGAAACCAGAACTTGGGGGTTCTCCATCTGCCCCATAAGTTCATTTGGCTGTCATCTCTGCTCTACACTTGAGAATTCACAGGACGACACTGTTCAGCTCAGGCCAAGGCCTCGTCTGCTAGCCCATGGTGCAGTTTGTTGAATTCTGGGCTATCATGATGTGCCAGCATGGCTTTATGTTGGATTGTGAACTGGGTTTTTTAAATTATGGCTTGCTCATTGTGCACCCAGAGCCGCCAGCTGTTCATGGTTGTCTCACCAGGCTACAGAGATGATGGGCAAGGGTAGTTAAAACAATGTTCCATACACCAGTCCCACAGTGCTGCATGTGGAATATATGGAGGGAAGGGGAGGGGGAAAACAAACCATGGTTTGTTCAATCTTCTGTCAGAGGATCCAACAAACCATGGGTTAGATAAACCATGGGGTACTGTTTTGTACGAACTAGGCCACAGGATCTGAAGAGGCTGGAAGAGAGTAAATGCTCCCAGGCCTACCACCTCGCCATGGCAGCATAAGCCACAGGAAGCCCCCACTGACCAATCTAAATCCTAAGCAAAGAGCAGGAGGAAAAGGGGGTCCCAGCCTCTAGCTGCCGGATGGAAAGGTGTTGCTCACCGAGCAAAACTGTAAGGCGGGATGTTCCCAACTAATCCCTTCCTGAGAGGTGAGAAGGAGAAGGCATCTCACCTTCCTCCAGTCAATCACATCCTTGAGCTTCCGGAAGAGAAAAATGCCTCTCCCTTGAGACCGGGCAACCTGCAGGAAAGGAAGAAAACCGTCACTCGCCTTTCACCCGACTGGCTGCTGCTTCTTGGCCCACAGAAAGCAAGCGGTGATGAAGTGACGGTTTCCAGGGCTGTCAACACCCTGCTCTTAATCAATACATGAACCTGCAAACCGCTAATCAATTGCGCTCCAGTAACCAAAGCAGTGCCTCAGAACAGCCGGATTCCACAGATTGCATACATTCTGCCCGTGTCCACAATTCTGTCATTTTACATCTTTCATTCTGAAGTTTTAGAAAATTATATAGGCCATTCTGCTTCTATCGGGGGAGAAAATTCTGTCCCCTGCCCACTGCCATCTTAGTAATACAGCCACCTCTTTGAAACATGCCAGGCATTGCTTGCATACGTCATGCATATCTTCACAGGCAAAAGAGCTGGAAGCGCCTTTTCCCAAAATGAAAACCAGAGCGCCTTGGGAAGCTCAATTCTGCTGCCAACACCACTTCCTGGAACTATTCTCCAAAACTGGCACAGGTCACGGCCTCATTCTGGGCTGCATAAAGGCTAAGCAGAAGACTGGACTGTTGACCTTCCTACTGAAGCACAAGCCATGGCTTCACTGCTCTGGCCACTGGCGCGCTACAGAAGAATGAACAAAGCTGCCCACACCCAGGCACACCAGGCCTGTCTAAGCGACGCAAAATCTACTGGCTGAGGGGTCAAAAGCAGGGGAAAATTCTTTTCTACTCCTCTTCATTTTGTTTTGGATTTCAAATCACTGTAGAACCAAACAGAATTATTCTACAGCTATAGGAATGGATGGTTCAAAATTGGGAAAGGCGTATGGCAAAGATGTATACTGTCCCCCTGCCTATTTAACTTATATGCAGAGTACATCATGTCAAAGGCCGGGCTGGATGAAATACAAGTTGGCATTAAGATTGCTGGGGGAAATATCAGCAACCTCAGATATGCAGATGATACCACTCTCCTGGCAGAAAGTGAAGAGGAACTAAACAGCCTCTTGATGCGGGTGAAGGAGGAGAGTGCAAAAGTTGGCTTGAAACTCAACATTTAAGAAAACTAAGAGCATGGCATCCGGTCCTCTCACTTCCTGACAAGTAGATGGGGAAGAAATGGAGGTAGTGACAGATTTAATTTTCCTGGGCTCCAAGATAACCGCAGACAGGGACTGCAGCCTTGAAATTAAGAGAGGTGAAAGCTATGGCAAATCTAGACAGCATACTAAAAAGCAGAGACATCACCCTGCCAACAAAAGTGCGTATAGCCAAAGCTATGGTTTTCCCAGTTGTAATGTAAGGCTGTGAGAGTTGGACCATAAGAAAAACTGAGCGTCAATGAACTGACCCTTTGAATTGTGGTGCTGGAGGAGACTCCTGCGAGTCCCTTGGACCGCAAGGCGATCAAACCGGTCAGTCCTAGAGGAGATCAACCCTGACTGCTCTTTAGAAGACCAGATCCTGAAGATGAAACTCAAATGCTTTGGCCACCTCATGAGAAGGAAAGACTTCCTGGAGAAGAGCCTGATGCTGGGAACAATAGATGGCAAAAGAAGGAGGGGACGGCAGAGGATGATGTGGCTGGATGGAGTCACTGGGATGGTAGGTGTGGGTTTGGGTAGACTCCAGAGGACAGGAAGGCCTGGAGGAATGTTGTCCATGGGGTCGTGATGGGTCAGACACAACTTCGCAACTAAACAAACAAGCAATAATAAAACAGTATAAGATCCATAACAATTTAAATTGCAACTAGTTCCAGGTCAAAATTTGGAGAAGTTCTTTCCTCTGTCTTATCACCTGATCTTTTAAAAATGACTTTGGTAATAAGATGGCATATAAATGGAAAAATAATAAATAAATAAATAAATAATGCAAAGTATGTGCTCTACCACTGAACTATGTCCATGTCGCACCACTGAGCTCTGCCCCTTCTCTTATTCTGAAATAATTAACAAAACTGCGATTAACCTCTGGTAGCTGCAATGTGTTATTTCTGTGGCTGTCTGTGGCTCAAAGGACCCCACGACCCTTTCCCACTTAATAGATGCTTCCTGGGGCTCCGTTAATGCACATCTTGTGAAACCACCATCCGACCGACCCGCCCACCCTTGAGCTCTTTGGGAAGAAGCCTAGAAGAAGGCCCTGATTTGTCTCAAAGCCAGTCATCCACAAACTTTCCAGCTGCAGCTCAGTGGAAAGCCGAGGCTGTGTTTCTCAAGTTGACAGTGCCATTTTATTTAGCAGTATAAAAGGGAATGCTTGATGGTGTGCCATGATATAAAGGTTTTATGGGCACAACTTTGGGATGGTGGCATTACTCAGGCGGAGTGGTGCACTGGGTGAGTTATGCTGGCCATCCCAAAGGAGAGCTGGTAAAATCTTTACGGCCTCTTGTGTTACTCTACAATTTGTCTCTTCTACATTTCAGGCAAAAGTTTCCTGTGCTCTTGCAAGTATTTGGGAAAGGTTTTAGTAGGACTATGTTTTTTTCCACAGCTATTCTCCTTGTAAATCAGAAGGTTCTGGAGCTGGGCTTCAAACAATGCAAACAAGAAAATAATCCATAGCAGAGTGCCACTCCTGCTGATCCACCACCAGCTTTGTGGCCAACTGCTGGTTCATGCCAAAAGGCCGTTGAGCTCAGCATTCTGCTTTCTACTGCCAGACAGAAGCCACAGGATGCAGACAACCTGTGTACAAGCCACAGGATGCAGACAACCTGTCTGTCCATAAATAAGAGTTAGGGTTAGATTCCACCCTGCCATGAATTTGTCTAAAATCCCCTTTTAAAGCCATCTGACCGACTGGCCACTGCCACATCTTCCTGCAGCGAGTTCCATAAATTATGCCAGCCTCCCTCAACCTGGTATCTTCCAAATGTGTTGTATTGTAACTCCCATCAGCCCCAACCAACAGAGTATTCAACCCAGGCACCAGGCTGGGAAGGCTGAATTAAGCAATGTCTGAAGAAGCCTTTCCCTGAAATCCCTTACCATTCAGCTTCCCGTTGAATTCTACACCAAGCTCACCGTGGGTTATCTAACCCATGATAAACTATGGTGCAAATGGCTTCTGGGTATGAACAAAAGCAGGTTGCTTACCTGTAACTGATGTTCTTCAAGTGGCCATCTGTGCAGTCACACATACGGGTGCTGTACCTGCGCAGTGCCTTTGGCCGGAAGATCGCACCCATATGTGTGATGCACAGAGGCCACGACGGAGAATGTGGGTTACTCAAGTATCATCTGAACCTGGCCACAGCAGGTAAATTGAGGGTTAAACAGCCCTCACATGACTCTCAGTTTATGGGAGGCTTATGTGAGGGTGGTTCAACCCTCCAAGAACCCACAGTGGTTGGGTTTGGACAGCACACTACCACCCCATTAGGGCTTGCACAGTAGTGGCTGCACATTCCTGGCATGTTCCACGGCTCACTGTGGGTTAAATAACCCACGGTCAGTCCAGCGTATCATCCAAACCAGCCCCTTGAGAGAGTGAAAAACATCTCCTCCGCTTTCCCTGCATCTTGCAACGTTTTATACTCCTCTATCCGATACACCTGTAAATCACATTTTTCTCTTGTTCCAAGCATACGCCTTAGAGAAACAGAGAGGGCGAGCCCCAAGGAACATGGGGAGCAGGAGGTGCAGGGGGAAGAGGCACGAAACCCAGCAGATGAAGTAAGAGAAAGGAGCGAGTCCTTGAAGAATCGCTGCATTTAGCAAACATTTGGCTCTTTGGAGCGTTCGACGCACGGCACATATATCGTGCTCGCAATCCTTACAAGAGGCGCGTGCGGTCAGCCCCTTATGGCAGGCGGAACGGTCGAGGCTGGGAGAGGCTCACAGAAAGCCCGACGGGAGTTAAGCGGGGCAGGCGAGTCATGCGGTGCGGGATTTAGAGGTCCCGCCTCCTGAAGCTCCCAGGTAGCCCAGCCGCCCAAGCAAGCGCAGGGGCCACCTGAGTTTGACGGTGCCTATCGGCAATTGCGGCGGGAATTCCAGCCCAATAAGCAGCTGCCATCGCTACCTGGTCACGTGGGGTGTAAAAGGGACACCGCTGTGCCCTCAAGTCGACCGCCACTTTGCTGTGATCGAAGTTTATTCTGCAGAATAAAATAGTTTTTCTGCCTCCCATCGCCACCGTGCTGAACTGGCAGGGCGCAGTGTATCTGGACCCCTCGAGTCCAACAACAGCACAGGAGGGGCTGGAACAAGGGGCCTGTGGGTCTAACAAGACCTGTGGGGAGGGACCCGCAAGGTTCTTCCGCCTGTTTCTTAAAAGAGCAGATGCGGCTGGAAGGGAGGGCCCCATCCAGCCTGATCCACAGAGACCGCCTGGGGCAAACAGCCACCTTGGGAGGTTGACTTCAACTGGGAAGGAGGTCAGTGCTGCCCCCCAAGCATTACAGGCCCTGCCAAACCCTCTCCCAGCTCTGCAGCTGGACTTGCCATGGGGGACCCTATCCAAGATTCCCGAGGTTCTTGTCTCCTTTGAAACTTGGTCTTAGCAAAACATATGGGGCAAAGCTGTTGAGATTAGCAACCCACCCCCCTCACTCTCTCCCCCATAGGTACCAAGGCCACTCATGTTCCACATCCAATGGGCATTTCCTAACGATAAAAAAAATCAATAGTGCAGCACGAGCTACAGCATCATGCTAGATCACTGTGGCTTCTGGAATTCACTCCTTGCTAGAATCCCTCTGTGTATCTGGAAGGTTTGGTCCTAAACTAATCCCCTGTCGGCATCCCTGGAATTTTGCAGGTCTGTCTGTCCATCTAAAGTCACGGAAGTCCTCTGCATTTCTGCAGCCTTAGCAGCCCTCTTGGGCGCTGGCTTAGCAATCCCGGCATCCTAGTTCCCCCAGGTGATAAAGCAAGCGTTCGGAGCCCTGCAGGAAGTGAGATATTGGGCTGTTAAACTGTCCCTGAGTCAGGCTTGTATATAACCTTCTGGGTTTTAAGACCCATGTATTTTTTCCCAGCAGAACATTTTGTAAGGCAAAGAAAGAAATGTTTTTATTGCAGGCACTTTCTTGAGATATCCTGCCCGCCCGCCACCTTTTAAGTGATAGCTGCCTGAAAGCAGCACAGAGCACAGCGTGGCAAGAAGTCATCCGAAAAAAGGTGCCTTGGCCGCCGGCCTGTTTTACGGGGGCCTGGGAGGGGACTGGCAGATTCTGCCCCACCGAGGAGGACGGTGCGCACGCTCCATGCAGGCCGCTGTGCTTCTAACGATCGTGATGTCAGTTAGCATGGTTTGCTCAGCAATTATATCTGCTCCTCCATCAGTCCCATGTAACTGGGGACAAGCAGGCCACTGGGGCTGGGCACTGGGTGGGCTAGTTGAACCGATTAGAGGCGGAAGGATCCACCTCTCTTCCTCCTTACTGCATGTCCTGGGGTGGGGCAAGTGAGGGGAAAGAGTGCGGGAGAAAACATGAAAGCCGTTCTGGCCAGCGTGTTTTGACCAGCAGAGACAAGATAAACTAGACAAAACAACCCCTTCACATGCAGGAAGGGCCTTGATCCATGGACTAGCAGCACAGCAAGAAAGAGCAGCCGGGAAGCATATTCTTAAAACTACTCAGGTTAGGGTTACTAGTGCTGTTAAAGTGACCGTGATTAGAATAATTTCTTGAGCAATCCTTATACAGGTTTAGGCAGAAAAAATGCCTATAATTCCCAGCATTCCCCAGTCAGTTCCCAGCGTACATATACTGTATATCCTTCACAGAAAGTCTGGTGCCATTCATTTTTGTCCTCTGTGTGTTCGGAGAACTGATTTTGAGAAATTGCATTTGTACACATCTCTGCAAATTCAGAGTTGTGCAAATGCGCACTTCCAAAAAGGGACAAAAGCCCCAAAACGTGCATCTTTGTGCTTTATCCTTCCCTCCCTACCGGCCTCGCCATATAGGTCGGCTCATTCCTTTTCAATCGCGCCCTCTTAGGACAATGCCGCAACTATGACATATTCTGGCTTCATATTCTGCGGGCATGAAAGGGAGATTTTCAGCTTGCAGAATTTGCAGTGCAGAAATTTACAGCTCCTTGCCATTGAGTCCAGCCCAACCCCACCTGCGACAAGGGGAAGCAGAATGGAAGCCATGTTATCGGTTGCCGCAAGGCCTTCCCAAAAGCAGCACAAAAGAGCTATGTAAGCAAGTATTTTAGATCCATGTTAACTTATCTGTATTTATGCTTTCCTGCGCCCTAAGCAACAGAGGGACTATAAATACACAAATATTAACCAAAATATGAGGTAAGTCCAGCTCCCATCACGACCTCGGAGCCTTCTGCAGCCTGCATCCTTCCACTTGTCGATGCAACATTGGTAATTGCAACCTTTTCAATACCGTCTCATTTAGTGTATCCTGGTTTTCTCCCCAATGTTAATTGAGGATGTGGGCCCAAATCGACTTAATGTAAGGTTTCTTGCTGGCAATTAACGCAAATTATCATTTGTAGACTTAGATAATCGCAGGCTGTTATCCTCCTGGCAGTAATTCACATGCTCGTTTGCATAATTACCTCCCTTTCCCACACTTGGAAGCACGCCCTGTGTTTGCCGGTGGGAGGCGAAGCGGCTGGTGCCGCTTTTATCTGCCCGGCAAACGACCTGTCCCGCTGCGAGCCTCACAGATGGGTGTGCAGGTAATGATGCGCGGCGGTGCAGTATTCATGATGCGCCATCTCTCTCATAATCTGGCAACAGCCAAGCCTTGCCCCAGCTCGCCCCAGCATCCTGCCAGCCTCCAAAAGAGGCAGCATTCTTCCTGCTTGCATTAGGGAGGTGAGTGAGCAGAATCGGAGCGTTCGGGAAAATACAACTCCTCTGAAGGTGTTGGAAAGGGGCAGTTGAAGCTCCAGGGGACGGGCAAGGCCAGGGGCCACCCACAGAAACCCAGCGGTGCTGGCTTACTGCATTCCCACCCTGGTCCTCTTGCAAGGGGGGGAGCGCGAAGCAGCCTTGGCCGGGTACCCAGCCTCCTGTGCGAGCTGCCCAGGACCAAAGCCAGGCCCCTTTAGCTTCACTGACTCAACGGCGGCCGTGTGCCTTCCCTCTGTTCTCTGACCTACGATCCCTTCTAGCACGTTAGATCTGGAAGCCTGGTTCTCCGTGGAAAGAGCCTGGCTGAGTGACCGCCTGGTTTGAACAGGAAAGGGAAACCAGCGCAGGCCTGCAGCTCTGGGCCACTTACGGCAGAGACCGAGGCGCGGATGGAGCGCAGCGTGTTGGCTGCCTGGACACCCACATCCACTCGGGCAACCAGCCCAGAGCACAGGAAGCTGCCTGGCTCAGAACGAGAACGGCCACGTGTGCCGGAAGAGAACTGGCCCCGTCCCGGCTTGAACTAAGCCTGCCTCCCCGACTGCCGGGATGGCGCTGGGGCCCTTTTCATGCACTCGTTTGCGCACGTCAATTTATGTGCTTCGTTTCTCTCGGGCCGACTCCAGAGCTGCTTTCCCTCGTCCTGCTCTCCCTCAGCCAGCGGTTCTCTTACAGGTTTCATAATCCAGGTGATGCCGGGGTTCTTGCGGAACTCTTCCACAAACAAGTGGTACTCCGAGGGCATCTCAAAGGTCTTCGGGAAAAAGTCACACTTGGCGGCCTCCAGCTTCCCGGCGTCTCGCTCCAGCTGCTTCCGAAACCGCTTCAGGTTCTTCACGATGTAGTTCTTCCGGGTCAGCTGAACACACATCAAAGACCATCAGAACAGCCTCGTAAATGCGAATATAAAACCGCTTCAGCGCAGGAAGGTGCTGCACAGACGTGCCCTTAACTGGCTGTAATTCTGTAGGGCCTCCGTCTCCCACAAGTATCAGCTTCCATCAAGCTATCATGCGATGAATCTGGGACACGTTGCCGGGGCGGTGGCTGTTCTCCCAGAGCAATGGCCCCCCGCCCCCCCGCGTGAATGCCGTGCCATGCTTGCTTCAGCCGTCGCATTCTAGGATAACCACAAACCAGCCACCCTCTCCTGGCACCAGTCCCAAGTCCCATCTTTAATATGGGGATAAAGTCACTGCCTTTCTGTATACTATCATTATTTATTTGAAGTCATTCTAACTCCCTCTGTCTGCTCACAAGGTGACACACAAACTGCAAAATCACACTCTGCATTAGAAAATAGGAACAAGGTGACAAAAAGGGTATTGAACACAAACCACACGGCCACTGGGGCGAAAGGATCCAACTGACCGGGACAAAATGGACTCGGTGCAATCCTAGGGCCACAAGGCAGGGTGTGGGTGGCCACGGGAGGGGCTGAGCCCTCCGTTCCAGCCCCGGAAACACACTCGCACGTCAGAGCCGGGGCTCCACCCGCACAGCATCCCCCCGCTGCCCTCACAGCTGGCGCCGGAAGATGCACGCCAGCTGCAGCCCAGAGGAAAGCGCTCTGGCACTGGAGCTTGTGGGCAGGACGGGCAGCATCCAGGTGCTGCTTCAGCCCGTTTCCCTTGCGCTCTGGGGCAAAAGCTTCTGCCCGCTGAGATCAGCCATCCAAGGCAGGCGATCTTCGTCTCCACCCTCCTTGCACCCCCAGCAGGATGTCCCAGATCCCATCGACGTGATGCATCACCAAGATGCACAATTCAGAGCCAGCGTGCGCCTGCCTGCACTGGACATGTAATTTGTGCCACAGACGTGAGGTAAAATCTGATGCTTTGGTCTGCTGCTGAGACGGTTCCTGTTAGAGGGACGGAGAGAAGGCAGAGACCCCCCTCCCCCCTGCAGTCTTCTGTGTGTCCTCAAACTCTGCTCCTGAGGGTGAGGAGCCCTCCAGAGCAGGGTCACTGGGGCTGTGGGGAGCAGGAGAGGCCTCATGCAGCAGAAGCGCCTTCCACCGGTCCCGCTTCCACAAGTACAGGGGCCAGAGTCAGAGACACATTTTTTGAAACCAGGCCTGTTTTGAGCGAGAGAGGACCTCAGACATGGCGATTTCGCAGAGAGCCCTATGGAGCGGGTCACTTCCGATGCAACAAGCAAGCCCCCGGGAAAGCTGCAGACGCGCTCAGCCAGAGTTTGCGCTGCTCCACCCCGAAGCCCCGTGCCCCCGCCTGCTCCCCCTACCTCGTAGTGATTGCGGAAGTGGCTGATGCGCACGTGCTCGTCCATGTAGGTATGGTCAAAGTTCTCCTGCAGCCAGCGGACGTCGCACCAGTAGAAGTCCCACTCGCCTTCCCTGCCACGAAAGGTCAGACCGCATCCAGCTGGGCGCACACACAGCATGTCAGCGCCTCTTTTATGCTCTCACTGCACTTTTATGGGTTTGTTAATTAACTGGCTTAAAATGTCATAAACTTCCCGGGCCTTTAATTTTAAGAGCGAGTGCTGCTCCCAGGCCTGCTTCAATCTGAAAATATCAATTTTCCGGAACTATGATAACCGTACTGCTGCAGTGACGTGTTTATTGGAAACAATCAAAGCTGAGTGTACCGAATGCTCTTTGAAAAGAAATCATTTGGGTTAGTCTTCAAGGTGCAGCCTGACGCTTTTAATATATGTTTCAATGAAGACTAACAGGGCTCCTTTGTGGGGTTATCAAATTAGGGAACTCCCTGATAAAAGGTTGCTGGAGGTTGCAGGTGCTGGTGAGGCAGCCCCTTCCGCTCCGCTGCTCTCACGCTTTTTCCTCAGCCTGGGAATCCTGGCTCTGCGAGGGGAGGCAGGGGTGCGGCGGGGGCCCTCCAAGAGAGTTGGCTTTTTCACTCTTCCCTCCCCATTATTGTTTTTCATGTGTGTCATGTCTTTTTAGATTGCATGCCTGCAAGCACAGGCTATCTTGTAGGAATGTCCTGAACACGCATTCGTATATTCTGGCCTTCCCGACCATTTTACTGGCATGTTCTGGGCTGGAGTTGCAACTCTGCTGCTGGCTTTTTATCTGGTCTAGGCCAGATGCTTTATGCTGGTGTTAGTTTTTGCCATGTTTATTGTTTTTATGAACATTGCATGCTTTATTACCGTGTCATCATGTTGATGATTTTTTTATGGTTGAAAGCTGCTGTGTGAGGGCTCCTATCCTGAAAGGCAAACTAGAAATATTTTAAATAAACATGCTAGTTTTGTTGAATCTATGCAAATTGCTCTGGGAAAGTCTGTCTCTCAGAAATGGGATAAAAGTACTTTAAATAAATTCACAGCACTTCGTTTTCCAAGGATTTTTGGAGGAAGCTGTGAGAGTTAGGGTGGAATAACACCAATGCAAGGTTATCTCCCTGGAGGTCCCTCACTTCAGGGGAATCTGGAACAATCTGAAAATCACTAAGAAAAACTTAAGAGTCTGGGTAGATATGGATGTTCTGAAACAGAAAAAAGTTGACTATTAGCTTTATAGTAAATACTGCATTTGCTGAATTGCTCATTGCAAGGAATAAATCTTCCTGGAATGAAGGGATTGGGATATTGAAAACGTGCACTTTTCTGTGAGGCTTTGGTTAGACTAATAAAGTTATTACACAAATACCTGGAATTTTTTAATGCCTTACTAGAAATAAGTAATTTAGGAAAGCTCTCTCCTCATATTTCTTCATGTTATAGGACAAGCAGCTCTGTTAAATCACTTTTCTCTCTCACCTGGCAGCAATGTGATGGTAGATTATCTAATGGCCCCCTGAAGATTGTTCTTTAGGGGCCGCTATAGCAATTCAAGTTAGCCAAGACTTGCCTACTCCAGTTTCATTTTCAGACACAACAGGCAAAGTGGAATTTAGGCAGAGAGCCGTGTAACTCAGGGTGAAATCAATGGGGAGACCTCAAAGGGTTTGATCTTTGCAGTCTTAGGCCACAAACCTCTCTAGTCCTGCCAAAGTTGCCTTTGCAACAAGCAGTGGTCCCTTGTTAAAACAGAAACTCAACCTTGGGCAGCTGGAGATGGCAGAAAGGGTGACTGTCTACCCACTGGAATCAAGCTTTCGATCTGAGAGGGCCAAGCAGCCTCTGCAAACTCTGAATTTGACTGAAGCCCTGAGGAGGGGGGAGTTTCACCCCTTCCCCGTGGGCCAAAGTCTGCATTCAAAAGAATATGAACTCTGAACAGCTTTCCCAGCTCCAGAAGAAGGAACACTGAATGCCCTCTCCTTACTTTGAATAAAGAAGCTCTGTGCCTGTGTGAAGTAACACTTGTAGAAAGTCGCAATCATGGTGAAACTGTTCCGCACGGTGAACGGAAGGGGAGGGAAGGGCAAAGCACACCTTCCTGTGGTCCTGCTGCTCCACCCACCTTCCCCGGCTGCCTTTCCTGTCTTTCAGAAAAGGTTCAGTCCAGGTCCTCTGTGATCACATGGCCTTCAACTGGTCTGTAAGAAGGCAGCCTTTCGGTGGAGTGAGTTTTACTCATGACAGTGCTCCAGGACCCCACTCTAGAAAAGGGAGTACGGCAGAGAGTGTCTCTGGCCATGTGCCAAATGTCCAGCCTTCAGCAACAAAGGCATCCATTCACAGTAAGGAGCAGGGTATGTCCGAGTGAATCTCAGCCCAGGAATGAGCTTTCGGTCCTTGTCCTTCCACACAAAATCCCAAGCCTACTTCACACTGCAAGCTTTCTCTGCTCCAGCATCCTGACTTGAGAGTGACGCAGGGGAGGAGCTGTTAAACAGCTGGGAGTAGAACTGCTCTGGTATCTACTGTGAATCACCTAGAGATTGACGAATAGGTTCGAATCCAACTTCTGACCATGCCTGCTTCAGCCTCCCCCTCAGGAGCAAACCCCGGTGTATTTTCTTAGCAGCGTTTCTCCGTACATGGGAAATCTGTGGGAACCTTTTGAGTGAGGAAAGCACCACGGCTTGTAACGCTCCATTAGGCATGGGATCCATTAACTCATCGATCTGAGAGAGGAGCCTCACATTCACCTTGGGCAGGAGAATCTTAGGGCGCTGACCTATTAAACCCAGACACATGTCCTTTCTCTCTGTCACAGCCCGGATGAAGAGAGGAAAGCCTGCCCTGATCTCCCAAATGTGCTGTCTGCCATTCCCTTCACCAGTAAGAACGCAGGTCTTACTCTTTCACTTCGACCCATCCTGGCCGTTGCCGGAGGACGTCTGAAATGGTGTTCGTGAGGGCACACTTGAATCGGATGCAAGCTCGGGGTTCTCTGTAAAAAAAAAAAATTAATTTTTAAAAACATCCCACCGCACACAGGACTGTGAATGCGCCACGAATATTGCAAACAAGCCACTTAATCACCTTCAGAGTAATCTTGCCAATTAAATTGCTTATTATTTTATGAAATTTCCTTATCTTGCCTTTCGGTTCAACAACAGGCTTGAAGATGGCTGACAATGAGGGGAACGGAACTCTATGAAGATGCTTTTCAAGAGGAGCGGTGGACGGCTGGCAACAGCTATGCGGGGAGGAACACGGAAAACATCTCGCCCCCCGGCCTTATTTCTTGCTCTTGTGGCGGTTCCCATCGCTGCACTTCATGGTTCTGAAACCTCCGGACACACTGTGCCCGCACTCCAGAAGCAGTGTGAGCAGAAAGGCCTCTGTGCTCTACCAACCAATCGCAGCTTTCTAGCAGTTTAGCTGCCTCAGCGTCTCCCCAGGAATTCTGCGCCTCCTACCAAAGCGTGCGATTCCTCATTCACGCTGCGCTTTTGAACCATAAAGCACTTCATGCTATTCTGGCACACGGGTTTCTGAAAACCATTCTTGGTTCACTGGACTGCACTGGCTGCCACAATCCTTCCTCGGTTATACTTCTCACGAGCAACATGGGCTCCAAAAGGAATCCTCGAGATGAAAGGACAAGTGTTCCCCTCAAGCTAGCATTAATATTGATTGATTTATTACAGTGGTTTAAAGCTGCCCATCAGCATCGTGCTCAGCTTGGCCCAAGAGAGCTACACAGTATGGCCTTGACCCAAAGCCTTTTGGAGTGGTGATTACCAAAGGGGAGAGCAGCACAGTTCCGAAGCACTTCTGTTTCAGAAGAGGTGCAACAGGCAGAAGTAGGGGGTAACGTCTGAGCAACACCAATCTAAAATTCCTGTTGGTGCCCACGGAAGGAGTTTTACGCGTGGTTCTCTGGATCCAAGCAGTATCTCCATTTGCAAGGCCTTTCCCGGGAGCCACTGCTGGAATTTCCAAGTAGGACTTGAAAAGATGCCTGTCTGAATCTCTGACTGTTGCAACCAGGCAGAGCAGTGGCTGCTAAGCTAGATGGAGCCAGGGCTTGCCTCACATAAGGCAGCTTCCAATGTCCCATTAAGATTGAGTGATATCTTCCACAGCATTTATATGGATGGTTCCAGAGCTACAGCAGTTCTACTTAGTTTCACTCCAAGGCTGGTAGGCAGTGATGCACTTATGGTGAGTAAAAACTGCCTACAGGTGATTAGGGGAAAAAAATCTTTACAAAAAGCTGTGTGCGCGCCCGCGCGCGCTCTCTCTCTCTCTCTCAGGTAACACAAGACTGACAAATTAGGAACGTATATGGAAAGACAGGACAGTAATAACTTTATTCTATAGGGCAATCATTTCCATGGGGTTTATTCTGGCTTATTCCTGTGAAATACTTGACAGTACTGGGCAAACAGGCCTATCTGAAACTTCTGCATATTTTTCTACGGTCTGCATTATATTTCAGCTTTGCTTTTCCTGCATCAAAAGATTTAGAAGTTGCTGTTCTGCCTGAAGAGATCCACATTTCTGCAGTGGATTCATAAAATTACCTTCCTGTTCTCTCATTCCTAAAGAAAAGAGTAAGGTAAAGAAAAAGGATATAGCAGTATGAAAAATTACTGTGGTTCTACCACTGCAGTGGAATTAGTTCTGACTTTGCTGCTCGCTTTTTCCCTCCCCCATCCCTTTCTCTTCCTCCTCCTTCCCTTCCTTCCTCTCTTTGCCACCTGGCGCTCGCCTGCTGCCCATGGGCGCCCCCTTGCCACCTGAGGATGACGTGGGACTTCCAGGTTTGCTCATTTGTAAGTAGGGGTGTTCTTAACTTGGACATTTGTCACTGGGGCACTGGGTGCATTCTATGAGGGGGAGGGAGAAACATCACTCACCTTTCTTTCAGCTTTTGGTAACCATAAGGCCCTTTATAGTTTATGTTCTGCAATGAGATAATTGGAGAAGCAAGTGATTTAAGATTGTAAAATAAGAAAAACACCCCAAAGCACTCCTTCTCTGAAAAATGGCAGGATCCCCTAAAATGTAATACAAGGAATAGGGCATCAGAAACAAGCTTTCCATGCAGGTCTGGAGGCGCTAGCTTTTAGGAACTTGATAGTGATGTTTAACCCTTTGCGATATTCTACACAGCTCTGCTTCTCATGTCAGTCATTCCCGAAAAGAAAGTACAGTGGTGACAAGGTGATGCTTGGATGTAAGGTCTTTGTTTTCCTACTAAGGATAATCACAGGTTTAGAAAACCCAGTCGCATCCTCTTTGTCCTGGCAGTAGGGGGTGCTTTGGTGCAGATACAGATACAGAGTGAATCAGTGGGGGTGTTTATTGATTTGTTTATCTGCAAAGCTGTTTAAAATGGTAATTTACCTCATCCTTATGATATACTGCCATCTTCATTTGGGTGGCCTCAAAAAGTACCATCATGGAAATGTAATATGCATCTTTAGCTGGTTAATTAATTTATAAATTGGTGGAACATCAGGCAGTTAATTGGCTGAAAAATCTGCAATGTGTTGGCAGTACACTTGTTTACTCATCCAACTATGAAAATAAAAGATACAGTAAAAAAAAGAAAAGAATTCCCCTTCATCTTGCTAAAGAACATGCTGCTCCCAACACAAACACACACCACACACACACACACACTTTAAGCAGGGCTGTATATCATTGTGAAGAGCTGGAATAATCCAGCCCAACAGAGCCGACCAGGGCTCCGCATTCTCATCACAGAAGCTGCTGCTGCACTTTCCACGGACGTCAGCAAAGTCCTTCTGTTGGACCAATGGTCTGCGCTGTAGGACCACAAGGACCTCCATCCCAAGCGCTAGCATGGGCTGCGGAGAGTCTTTCAAGTGCAAGGAGGCTTGGTGGCCAGACGCTCTCCGCTACAGGCTGGAGGCCGGACAATTGCTTCCTGCTCCGCCCGTTTCTGGCACAGAGGCCCTGCAAATGGTCAGAGCAGACTCAGAGCACCCTGGCTGGAGACGGGTCAGTGCTCAATGTGCTCAACAGCCTTTGGCTCAAGCATTGCCCAGACAGCTCACGGCATCAGCACAGCAAAGAATTTCCCCAAGACCGTATCCTAAGGACATAATTATCCTCCTGTCTGTCACATATATGTTCATTGCGCCTCACTTGTGCTTTTGGTACACTGATAATCCATTTTCTGAGTATCGCGGAATCATAGAATAGTCAAGTTGGAAGGTGCCAGGAGGCCACTGGATCCAGGCCCCTGCTGAGTGCAGGACTCCCAGTTAAACCATCCCTCTCGGAGGGCTGTCCAGGTGCGTCCAGGGTGCCTCCAGCACCCTCACAGCCATTCTAGGTCATCGGTTCCATGGTCGCACTGCTCTAAGTGTCAGGGAATTTTTCCTGGTACCGAAATCGCTGTGCTCTGCAGCTGAGGACAAAGGGCACAGCCTCCTCCCGCAGCCTGGTCATACACTTGTTGGGGCTGCTGAATGCAAAGTGATTTTCACACCCACCCGTAGTGTGTTTTGCACAAGGGGCGACACTGAATCCTTCTGTGGCTGACAGAAAGGTGTGACGTTGACACGCACGCCAGCTGCCCCATCTTACCGCAAAGTTCCTCTGTTCGGCTCCCTCTGCTGAGCCTCACCAGTTTTTCCCGACCTGGTGCCCTCTACATTTTTAGATTACAACCCCCATCATCCTCAAACAGTGGACATGCTGCCTGGAGGTGCAGACTGAGCTGCTGAAAAGGCACCCGAGCCAATGTTGGTTGCCTGAGTGGGCCAAGCTCCCCACCTTGGGATCTGGGAGGGAGTGGAGTCTCGGGGTGCAGGGTGTCTGCATCTGCGTGGAAGCATATTCATGCAGGGGAAGCCTTAAGGGCCAAACCAGACGTAGAAAATCTCTGATTGCCCACGATTTTAAAAAATGGCAGCCACTCCGCCCTCCTCACTAAGGTTATTTGCCCTTTGGAAGCCCTGCTGGATGAGACCGAGGGTCCCTGCAAGCCAGCACTGCTCACAGCGGCCACTCAGCTCCCACGGGATCCCACACGCCGGACCTGCGGGGAGCAACGTCTTCCTGCTCATGCTCCCCATCAGCATGGAAGGATACAAGGGCACCCTTCCTCCGATCTGGAGGTGGCATACAGCCAGAAGGACTAGTAGCCATGGTAGCCTTCTCCTTCATGATTTTGCCCACTCCCCCTTTAAAGCTACCCAAATCACTGCACTGCAGCAGCTAAGAGCTTCCTTCTACCTGTCCTGAATCTCCCACCTGTCAGCTTTTGGGGATGACCCAGGATCAAATATTATGAGGGAGAAAAATCTCCCCCTATCTACTTTTCCACATCACCTGTGATTTTGTACACTTTGTACAACGTTGTCCTTCCTCGCCTTTTTACTAAGCCAAACTGTTCCAGTGCGGCAGCCTTCCCTCATGGGGGAGCTGCTCCAGCCCTTTGCTCGTTCCAGAAAGTTCCCTTTCCGCCCCTTCCCCCGCTTTACAGTGTCCTTTGCCAGGCGCAGTCGGCAGAACCGGGCAGTGTTTTAGGTGTGGACAGACTTATCTTCAGAACTAGAGCTTTTCACTGGACAAGTCAATTCTGCCCGTTAGTGCCCCGCGTGTGCATGGGACGGGCAGGCAGGGTTGCTCCTCCTGACCCAACCAGCAAGAATTTGGGCGGTCTGGTTGCAGAGGGCGAGTGGAGGAGCTGCCAGGTGTGTCCTTCCCCAGGACACACCTCCCGTTTCAAGACCTAAGCAGGGCTTGAGCAGGAAGAGGCATGGGGTGGCCGGAGAGCCAAAGGGCCCGTGCAGTTCCTGGCTTGGCTGTGGCTTGGCTCTTGCCTGGGTTCACATGACACACAAAGCCAGGGAGGGTCTCCTACACCCTAGAACGAATGATATATATCCATGCTGAGGGCAGGATTGTCACTCTGTCCAACTGGCTCAACACGGTTACGTCTCACAGTAGGTCCTAGGAAGCACCCTTTAGGACCAAACTCAGGATTGCTATGGTGATGGAACTGACGGGCGATCCTGGATTCAATTCTAAATGGTGTTGCAAGGCAAACAACAGATCAGAAGAGTGCAATTCAAACTGGCAAAACAAAATATGGGAAATGGTGAACGTTTCTCTTCCCTCGTTGCTGTGGCCCCAACCACCCCCTCACGTACACGTACCACATGTGGCCACCAATATGTTTAAAAGAAAATTCTGACCACAAATCTCCAGCTGCTGAGATTACGTATGGTCCGAACTGTTCAGAACACACTGTTACAGAATACTGGGGGCACTTATGTTTTTCCCAGTATGTCTAGAACGAAAAGAACAAACACTCTTATGCTTTTAAATCCCTGGAGGCCATGATATGCTTAATAACAGGATATGGTCATGTGGAGAGGAGAGGAGAGAGGAGAATCTTCAGGCCTCATGAGATGTTTCTCCGTAAGAACTGGGGGTGCAGATACGATCCCTTTCCATCTGTGCAATGCTGGAGGGAATCCATCTAAATGATAAAATAAATGTACTTTCTTGGATGTACCACGGGACCATATGGAGGGACCTCACTTTCTGGCTTGATTGCTATGATACTGGGAACCATTTGGAAGTAACAGAAATCAATGGCACTCCCAGTATTGGCAGATACAGGACAATCAGGAAGGGGCAGAGATCAATTTCACATTAACCCTGGACTGTTCTTTGTGATGCACATTGATGGGCAGGTGGATCCCCCCCCTTTTTGCTGCCTATGCCCGTAATTTCTCCACCTGTCCACCCCACACACTCTTAATTTTTGGTAGGTATCAGCTACATACATTGATCATAGTCGTCAGAAGGTAGGACTGGGGCCCAGGAGATCTGGGTTCAAATCCCCATTCAGCCATGAAATCCATTGTGTGACTTTGGGCCAGTCAGTGCATTCTACCTCACAGGGTTGCTGTAAGGATACAACGGGGAGGAAGGCCATGAAAACTACATTCAGTTCCTTGGAGGTAATGGGTGAGGTAAATATAACCATAAAAAGAAAGACACTCATGTCCATCACATTTCTGAGACAGAAAAAGTGAGCAGCTGGAGAATTATGAGCACAGCATCCTCTTAATTTAGTTTTCATCCTGCTGGGCTGTGGATGAACTCTGCTTGAGTTCTTAGCAATCTGCCTTCTCCTACCTGATGCTCCCCAGATACGTGGAACTGCAGCTCCCATCCTCCCCAGCATGGCCAAACACACTAGTCCCCAGATCGGGCTGCTGTGCCAGCTGGGGAGAATGGGGGTTGCAGTCCAGCACCTCCGGGAGGCACCAGGGTGAAAAAGTCTGTTATCACCTACCCAAGCCCCTCTTCACGTTCTCCCCCACTCCTTTTACAAATTGCAAACTGATTAATTGCCTTTTTCTGTACGCGCCCCCCGCACGAGTCTCTTCTCCCCACGGGGTATCAGCCCCCGCCGTAGAGCAGCCTTCCCCAGCCGGGGCCTTCCAGAGGGGCTGGACTACAACCCCCAGTATCCCCAGCTGCTGGGAGTTGCAGGGCTGCCACCGCACCTCGACGGCGTCGCTCCCCCCCCCCCCCCCGCGGCCCCGGCGCCCCACCTTGTTCTTGGCCATGGCACGCTCGGCCTCCGCCGCCCTCGGCGCGTCCCGTCTCCACGGCAACCGGAGCAGGCCCGGGTGGGCGGAGCCTCGGGAGGCGGGCCCGGGAGGGGCGGGCCCGGCGGGGCGGGGCCTGGCAGGCCCTGGGGGCGGGGCGTGGGCGGGCCAAGCGCGGCTCTGGGCGTGGGAGTGCTGCCCGCCGCTCTCTGCCCCGGTCGCCTCTTCGCTCTCTCTCGTGAGCGTGTTCCTGCAGGGACCTCCTCCCCGATTTCTCCTCACCACAGCCCTGCGAGGTGGGTCAGGCTGAGAGTCGGGGGCTGGCTCAAAGTCCCCTCCTCCCCCCCCCTCCTCCTCATCACATCGCATTTATATCCTGCCCTTCGTTCCTCATGCAAGAACCTGAGGCTGATTACACGGCATTCCTCCGCTGTGTTCTTATCCTCACCACAGCAGCCCTGTGAGGTAGGTGAGGCTGCACGGGAGTGACTGAACCAAGGTCACCAAGGTGCTCAGGGCAGAAGTGGAGTCTAGAACCCGGGCCTCTGACGTTCCAGTCCAATACTGCACTACACTGGTTCCACTACTACCGAGGCAGGAGTGACTCTGAGGATATAAAGAGTGCTTTCCCCTGAACACTGCATGGTTTGATCCCAGTTTGTGAGGATAAAAACAGAATGGGGAACTATATAAACTTGCTTAGGTTCCTCGCAAGGGGGAAAGGGTGGATACTCAGAAATCCCATGACATGAGCTGCAATAGATCAGCTGCTTTCCGCTTGCATGGATCTTGATCAGAAGCATTTTTATGTGTTTCCCTGGGAGCACGTGCCACTTACAGAGGTTCCAAATCAGAGTCTGTACATGCAGAGCTTCCAGGAAGTAAACAGACTGGCAGTGGCGGAGTTGCAGCGAAAGAGGAGACAAAGCCAGAAGCAAAGCCCCCCCCCCCGCCACCGCCCCTTGTAACACACCCTTATTCGCAGGTCAGGCGGTGTTGTTCACCTCTGGGAGAGACAGGAGGAGCCACTGGTGTTGCAACGGGACCAGCAAAGAAAAATCAGAAAGGCTCCGCATGGTGGTGACCCGCGACGTCTGTGCAGTGTTTGTTTTCCTGCCTGAGGGCAACATGGTGTACCGCGCAAGCCAGCAAGTCGCCCTGCTCAAAGAAAAGGTGAAAGTACCGGAGCCACGAGTGTCCGCCCTCAAGGGAATAAAGGAAGCCGAAGAGTTTTGAGGCAGAGCAGTGAGCCTGCAAGCTCAGAGCAGTGCAGAAGGAAGAAGAGCAGCAGCCAGCTGAGGCAGAAGGAGAGAATCCTGCGGGAAGGGAAGGTGAGGGGGGATTTAGTACCCCCTCCAAGTGCGTCTGGATTAATGGCAATGGAGCAAGGAATGAAAGGAACGCAGTGGCCGGAGGCTATTACCAGCCTCCCTGTCAAGGAGAAGATGAGGATGAAGCTTTTGGAAAAAAATGGCCCGTGTTTCAAGGAGGCCCGATGGGGAATTTCAATTTATTTATTTTATTTTTATTTATTAAAACATTTCTATGCCGCCCCATTCGCCGAAGCCTCGAGGCGGCTCACAACATAATAATAATTTCCCCCAAATCTGTTGGGAGACAAATTCTGCCCAACATGGCCCCTCCAAGAGATTCCTAACGTGTTAGGAATAACGTAACTTATTCCAAGGGAAAGCGGAGGAAGGAACAAGAGGAGCGGCTATCCTTGACTTGATACTAACCACAGGGAAGACGGGGTGGATGAAGTGGCAGCTGCAAGAACTCTGGGGGAAAGTCACTATGCCATATTTGAATTCCTGATTCTAAAGGAAGCAAAAGCTAAATGTAGCCAAGCATATACCTTGGATTTCAGGAAAGCCAGTTTTACTAAACTCAGAACAATGAGAAGTAAAGTCCCATGGCAAGTGACTCTAATGAGAAAAGGAGTCTAAGAAGGGAGGGAATTTTTTAAAAAGGAAATTCTAACGGCACAATTACAAACAATTCCAACAAGGAAAAAGGGTAGAAGAGAACGGAAGACGCCCATGTGGCTTCACTAAAAGCTTTGAAAACAATAAGGACATGTATAGGAAGTGGAAGGAAGGCCATATAGGCAGGTTGCAGGGAATTGCAGGAATGGCGTCAGGAAGACTAAAGCTAGGAATGAACTGAGGCCAGTGAGGGATGCTAAAGGCAACCAAAAAGCCTTCTTTGGATATGTCCAAAGTAAAAGGCAGAGGAAAGAAACAGTTCAAACACTCAGTGTGGATGGCAAAATGGTAACAGATGACAGAAGTCCTCAATCCCTACTCTGGCTCAGTCCTCCCAAAAGAAGATCCATGACCTTTCTGAAGAAGGGGAAGTCCAAGCTGATGGAACAGGAGAGCAACTCAAGATTGGTAGGCAAATGCTTAAGGATCATCTAACTGGGTTGGATGAGTTCAGTTCTCCAGGCCCTGATGAACTCAGAATGAACTCCAGGAAGTTGTAAAGGAGCTGGCGGAAGAACTCTCAGAACCACTGTTTATTATCTTTGAAAAATCATGGAGGACAGGAGACGTTCCAGGTGAATGGAGAAGGGCTAATGTTGTCCCTATCTTCAAGAAAGGAAAACAAGAACTTGGGGACTACACACCAGTCAGTCTGATATCCATCCCTGGGAAATTTCTGGAGCAGATTATAAAGCAGTCAGTCTGCAAACACCTTGAAAACGTGCAGTTATTACTAGAAGCTAACATGGAACAATTCCTGCCGGTCTAATGTGATTTCATTTTTTGACTGGGAAACCTCCCTGATGGACTGTGGGAATACCGTGGCCGTAATATATCTTGACTCCATGATCTCCTGCTTAGCAAACTAGCTCAAAATGGGCTGCGTGGAACAACAGTCAGGTGGATCCAAGCCGGCTCAAGAATCGGACTCAAAGAGTGCTCACCAATGGCAGCCTCTCAAACTGGGGAGAGGGAATAAATGGGGGTGCTCCAGGGTTCAGTCCTGGGCCCAGTGCTCTTCCACATTCTTGCTAATGATTTGGATGAGGAAGTGCAGGGAACAGTTATCAGATCTGCAGATGACAGAAAACCGGGCGGGGGAGCTAATACCCTGGAAGACAGAAAGAAAATTCATGGTGATCCTGAGCAGTTGGAGCACGGGGCTGAAAACAACAGAAGGAAATTCAGCGGGAACAAATCCAAGTTCTGCACCTTGGAAAACGAAAACAAACACTTCCTTAAAAGCGAGGAGCGCTTTCCTTCAGCTTCGGCTGATCCATCAGCTGCGTCCCTCCCTGGAGGAGAACTGCCTGGCAACAGTGACACCCGCACTGGTTATTTCCCGGTTGGGTTTCTGCAACGTGCTCTACGTGGGGCTGCCCTTGAAGACAGTCTGGATCCTTCAGATGGTGCAAAATAGAGCTGCCAGGATGCTGTTGGGGACTGGGTGTTATTCTCACATAACCCCAGTCCTCTATCAGCTCCACTGGCTTCCCATTGAAGTCCGGGCTCAATTCAAGGAGCTGGTTATTACCTATAAAGCCCTAAACGGCTTGGGACGAGGATACCTAAAAGAACGCCTTTTTCCCTAATTGCCCTCCCGCCCCCTGAGATCGGCAACAGAAGGCCTCCTCCGGGAACCCTCTTCGAAAGAGGTCAGGAGACAGAGTACCCGGAGGAGGGCCTTCTCTGCGGTGGCGCCCCGACTATGGGAGGCGCTCCCCAGAGAGGTCCGCCTGGCACCGTCATTATATGCTTTTTGGCGCCAGGTCAAGACCTTTTTATTTGACCAATATTTTTACATACAGTAATTTTAATTGTGTTAGATTTATTTAATCTATTTTAAATAGATTAGTTTTATGCTCCGTGTGGAACAGTTAACTTATTTTATTGAGGACTGAAATAATGTTGTAAGCTGTCCAGAGACAACAGTGATGGGCAGCCTACACATTTTCTAAATAAATAAATAAATGCTGGGGGATGCACCTCACAATAGCGCATCCAAACAAGCTTATTGTCCACATTATGCTGTCTAGTTACCCTAGGGTTGCTCCTTATGGTGATCAGCCTCCTGCTTATGTGTAATAAATCTCACCTGGTTCGGTTGAACCAGTGTTGTGATGACTTGCTGCAATCTATGAGGCAGAACTTCACTTAATAATGTAATACCCACCTTAATTAACAAAACAGATCAATAGTTAGCAGAATCAGTGTGAGCCTTGCCAGACTCGGACCTCTTTGTTACAGAAGCATCATCTAGCAATGAAGGAAGGAGGATTAATTCAGAGATATTGTTAGTAAGACGATACAACTTTGGAAGTAGGAGGCTGGAAAATGTTTTATGCCACTCAATGGGAAACTTGGCCAGACCAAGCTATTTCCAAGTATCCCTCCCTACGTGCAAGCCAAGAGAAGCTGGCATTGTCAGGAATCTAAACACAGAAGATTAAAACAAGGCAAAAAGCATCTGGATCTAATCTTGAGTTTCATCACCTGTTTAAAACCAATCTGAATGACACTTTAAATATTATGGGTTTATGTCTAGGAAAAAGTAGTATGACACATCACTCTCCTCTTTAATAGCTGAAATGACATTGTTTCCCCTTTTTTCTGTTTAAGAAAATGTGCCAGAATCTTACTGGGATGTTTACCATTTTCCCAATACGCCTGTCATAAACAAGACAAATTCTGCCTGCTACTTCGAAGCTCTTGACAAAGTTGTGCAGTTGGCAAACGGCGTTATAAGATATTTCAGCTTCTTATTGGGGAATATTTTTATATTTTGATTATTTCTGTTGTGGGAAGCATAAGCAATAATTTGGCCTTTTGGAAAAGCTGAACTTGTCCCCCCCCCCCCCAATGGCACAGGAATCAGCAGTACAGCCAAGTATTTCAGCAGAAATCTGAGTGTTAAACAGAAGAGAAACATTAAAGCACCAGATTCAAGGATTCTGTGTGTGGGGGGGAGCAAGTGTAAAAACTAGAACTCCCAGCAAACTGTTCATAGACAGACAGTCTTGCAAACATGCATTTTACATAATAGAGCTACAAAACCAAACAAAATCTAATCAAAAGTAATTCTGACAGACTGGAGAAATGCAAATATAATGTCTCTTGCCAGGATCCAAAATTTTCCAAGCACCAATCAAACCAAGTTCTGCCATATAAGGCTTAAGTGTAGAGCTGGCCAGCCTTTCCTCTTGGGGGCAGGTGTGCTCCTATCCATCAAAGGGCCTAAAATCTCATGAAAGTCCCCAGCTCAATCAAACAATCCTAAGTGTTATCAAACGATTTGCTAAAACATTCATGAAGCATAACCAGAGAGGCATTATATGCATCTACATCAATTACAATAATTACTTTATCCATATCATTCCCATCCAGAATAAAAAAAACAACCAGCAAACTCGATCATCACCTGTTGAACTGAAAAGGAGTGTCATTTGTGAATTAAACATTTTACCCTTTAACCCATGTCCATGCTATTGCATCAGGGATGTCACCACCCCAAGCTTTTCTCAACAAATGTCTGTTTATTTGTAGTCCCAAACACCAAGGTAAGGGTGGGAAAGCTGGACAGGGAAGAAAGCTGCCAGGAAGGAAATGGCTGCAGTCCAGAAATGGTGCTGGAAGAGCGCTCTGTGTATACCCTGGAGCGACAGAAAGATGGAGAAGGGGGTCCTGGAGCAAATTGAGCCAGAGCTTTTCGCAGAAGCGAAAATGACAAAGCTGAGGCGGTCATACTTTTGATACAGCATGAGAAGGCCAGCCTCCCTGGAGAACACCATCCTGCTGGGCAGCATGGAAGGCAGGAGCGAAAGGAAGGGGCCAAATATGAGAAGGAAGAGTTGAAGGGCTGTCATGGATAGGACACTCTGGAGCGCTTCCATTCACGGGGTTTCCATAAGTTGGAGACAACATGACAGCTTGCAACAACAACAACAACCATCAAATAGTTTTCCTAAAATAAACACATGAAAACAGTGCCAATGGGGCATTCACCTCTTTTTATTTAGAAAGCGCTCTCATCTGCTTTTCAAACTTCCGTAACCTCTTGAAGTTCCATGAAATCCCATTAAGCACAGAGGAATTAAAAAGATGGAGCTGAATCCTCCGCACATACAGGTCTTGCCATTTTTAGGGAAATCTCCTACTTTTAAAGGACAAATCACAGATACCTCAGGAACTGAGATGCTTCTTGGGCTTCTGACATTCTAGGCCTCAGTCCTATGTAAGTTCAGACATGCTGAGCTTGTCGGCCTTTTTTCTGCCTAACCTTGCAAGGGGCTGCACCTTAAAAGCATGGCTTTGGGAAGGCAGCTCGGGAGTTTTGATGCTTGCGTTCAACCGCTGCAGCTTTCCCCCCAGCTAAGCAGACATGGGGCGCCAACTGCCCCCAAGCTGACGGGCTCTCTGCCCCCCAGCGTGGCCTCCAGCCTGGCAGTGCCGTTTATTTTCGTGCTGCGGCTTCCAGGGCTGTAACCAGACCTGGCGAGCCCTGCGCTGCCGGTACATTCCGGTCCCTGGGAACATCGGATCCCACGGACGCCCCCGCTCTCACCAGCTGCTCCTCGCTGGGGGGCTCACGGGCCGCAGCCCCCGGGAGGGGCTTCGCGCCAGCTTCCCGCCCGTGCGCCCCGCGCGCGGGGCTGCGCGCTCGCCCGGCGCACGGCCGCCCTCGCTCCCACCACCCCGGGCTCTGGGAAGGGGCCAGGATCGCGGGGCCGCTGCGCCGGAGGGGCGCTTGGCCACCCTCGCTCGCCGCACGGCCAGCGGGGCAACGGGCTCCGCCAGGCGGCCGCCGCGCCCCGCACCCCCGCGCGGCACGGCAGGAGGAGCCTCGCCGGCTGTCACCATGCCAGGCGCGGGACGCGCGCAGGAAGGGGCCTCTCCGGCAGGCGCGCCTCGGCCGGCTCGCGGGCAGAGCCTTCCCGGGAGGAGCAGGAGCTTCGCCGGCACTGCGGCGCCCCTGCCTCCCCGCGGGCTGCGCTCCCTGCGCCGGACGGGCCGCGGAAACGCGGCGCTAGGCCTCGCCGCGCGCGCCCGCGCCGGTAGCTGTGGCTGAGGCGCGCGGGGCCGCGCCATTGGCGCGGCCCCGCGCGCCTCAGC